CATTTAACATGGACTAGCTAAAACTCTTTTAACATCAGTGAAAGAAGGTTCCTTAAGACAAAAACAGTGTATACCAGTAAGGCTGTAGCGATTCACTAACATATTCGGTGAATCCAACTGTAGCCCTTCATGAATTCAATTTGTAATTCGTTGTCACCAGAACCGAATATTAACAAATATTTATGATTTTCTTAAGGGAGCGTGTTTTCTTGAACTCTTATGTCCTTTTTCAAAGTGAGATGTGAAAGAATGGAATATGTACTAGCCTTGCAGTAGCGCAAGTCATGTTAGTTTGCCAAGGCCGCACATGGTACTGTCGACTATAACTATTACATACCAAATTTGAGTGTCATGAGATCACTGGTTATTGCTGTGACAAACTAACACTGTCAACATGGGCATTCCATATTGTACATCAATCACTTAACCACAATATTGTATTTGTGAATAATTATTCATATTTGTTACCCAATATTCATGATAAGTATCATATTCACCACATAGTGTATTTGTTGCAGTCCTATATACCAGGTATATCTGATATTTACATATTGGCATGTTGTGACAAAATACAGTAATTCAAGTTCTGTGTTTTTTGTTTGTTATAAATGTCACAAGCTGAATCTTGCAAACAGGAACCAACAATGTCAGTAATCCAGATTAGATTAGTATCTTGTTTGAGAGGCCCTAGACTGACTGACTGAGTTTGGTTTTACACCGCTTTTAGCAATATTCCAGCAACATCACAGCGGGGGAAACCAGAAATGGGCTTCACACATTGTACCCATGTCTAGAGGCCCTAGAAGGTTGGAAAGCTAAGTGAGGATAAGATATGAGGATAACAACCTCTTCAAGGGGCGATGTTTTGGTGTAGTCTTTAACACTCAACACTGTTATCATGAGCAGATGAACAAATATCCACTATTGTTAGATGAAAAAATGTTTTGGTGTTGGTTTTAACACTTCTATCAACTAAGTGATGGAATCAACATCCAAAACATCTTTTTTCATTTTTTCACCTAAATACTACTCCTAACGTTTAGAAAGAAGCAGTTGATTCAAATGCTTTATTCTTACAAGGGCTGGCTAAAAAGATCGAAAATATTGTTGATGGGAAAAACTATTTATATAGTATCGTCATATACACTGTGGCATTGAGAATATTTACACTAGGGCTGGCTATCAATATTGATCATAGAGATTGATAATTGTTAACTAAATATCGATCGATTATCGATAAATATAGGAGAAGTAACTTTGAGAAAAAATGCCAAAACGGCCTGAAAGAAATGAATATAATTCACATCACTGGTGAGCGGTGAGATGTTTGTGCATGGGCTACTAACACTTAGGATAAAAGTTGTTTAACAAACGATCATAGATTCAAATCGCTATTAATGGTTTGTATTACAAGGGGGTAAGCGCAGTAGATGGAACAGTGAAACAAATGCACGTGCGGTGAACGTGATGAGCGTTAAATTAGACTACCGTAGAAACCAACCCTTCTTGTTCTCTGGGTTTCCTTTAATGTGCATACCCCCTTGTAATACAAACCAATAATAGCGATTTGAAACTATGATCGTTTGTTAAACAACTTTTATCTGAAGTTGAATAAAATTCTGAGATTTGAATGTTCAATTTGCAAGGTAAAATTATGAGGATTAGCAATCTTAATTTCACTTAATTTGATTTACTTTTTGTTTAAAGTGAAATTCATCGGTACGTTTTCACTGCAAACAGACTATAAATTATGTTCAGAACGTTCTTTTGTTAGTCATCGATGCATAACTATGTCACCAGTGATTTGAAATATGATAATTACTTAAAAATTATCAATCTCAATGATCTTAATCAATAACCAGCCCTAGGTAAAGTGCATAGCAAACTCAGAAACCTCAGTTCACATAACACGTTTAAAATAAAAGTGCTATAAAATGTACTGCCGCTAGCTATATTATGTCTATAAATATTAAAAAAACTCTCAACATTGCTGGGCATATTCAATGACAATGCGAGTAGAGATGATAGATCAGTGAGAAGAACTTATGTGCACTTCATGACCCCAGCAAATCAGCTGATGTCAGGTCAATATTTCGCCCATGTGTTTTGCAACAACATTTCACAAATTACGTCATAGTTTATTGTTACTTGTTTGTAAAGATTGTAAGGCTGAATGTCAGAAGATTTTAGTGTTAATATTCGGACTATTATCAGACAAACTTACTTGACTCAGGCATCAGACTAGTGGCTAAAGTCACAGCTATCTTCATAAGCATCCCTCTTCCTCAGTTTTGCACCCCTGGTGCTTATAACCGATGTGGCTTTTAACATATCTAATATTTTAGAGGTCAGGATATGTTTTACACCTTTAGACATACTCAACCTGTGTTGATTGCATAGAAGAATATAGGCCCATCAAACCTGCGCTTGTTGTAAGTGGTAACTAAATGGAATTAAACATCCAGATATATCATCAATCCAAACTGTGTGGATTGATGCTCATGATGTCAATCACTGGATTGTCTGGTCCAGAAAAAAATTAACTAAGAAACAGAGAAGCTGAACTTAGCTAGATAAACGTTGCCAATTCTATTCCTTTCTCACAGACTAAGGCATACAAATTCAGTGAAGTAACAGCTACACACCCTATGTGACACAATAATTAGATTTAGAAACATCTACTGAAATAGACAGTTGCTGGTATCACTACGTACCACACTGACTGAAATTCCTTCTAAATGTATTACAGTGCTAACTAAAATGGTTAGGGTCAGTGTTTCTCACTTAAAATATATTCTTATTGCTGCAAGGTCACCCTTAGAAATACTCTTTTCAAACTCATTTTAAGGTTAGGAATTGAAGGCAGTGAGACCAGCAAATGGAGAAAAACATGGAAATGAAGGCATGAACCTGGAAAAATACAAGACTTGAAAATTAAAAATGGATGAGTAAAAAATGATCATAAAGTGTTTTGTGTGGCCATAAAATTTCCGAGTCCCATGCTGGGATTCGAACGACGGACCTTCTGATCAGAAGTCGGACACCTTGTCCACATGCCCAAAGAGGTTAACCCCGTCAGCAAGCTGACAAGGTAAGGATGTCATCTGTGGGATGACTCCACGCCCTGCTACAAATGCAGTATCAACTGCCTTTATCATGTCTAGCCACTTGTGAAGTCACATTCAGGAAACTGATAAATGTGAATATCAGGCTCTAATATTGATAACAATTAATCGAAATAAACATCCTCGTTCAAAAACATTGAGAAACTGTTGCAGGTGTATTTTAGTGTAAATATATTATTTTAATCTTATTATTATTCTCTCCTTTTAGCTATATTATTTCTAGGCAGTTTAAGGGTTAAGCTTTAGAGCTTGGCCTCATTCTCACTAATTGCCCAAGCCATGTGTCCATTTATATAGCTTCAAACTCAGCTGATTGGTCTCACTAACTCCATGCACAATTTCAAGCTGCCTCATTCTGCACTGACAATTTTGAACAAACTCACTTCTTTGACCACGTCACAAAGTGTGGGACAGGACTCAAGTGAGTCAAGCTGTCAAAACGGTCACCCATCAAGGCAATATTTCACCCGAGCCAGCTTTGAGCACGTGACTTGCCACATCGGCAATATTTCAGCCACATCGTGACTTGCTACGTAAAGACAGCTTGGACAGACACACACTGTAACATTAAGGTTAGTATTTATTTAATTAAAGTAATATTGCATTTAATCCTTGCAGTATAAATATAATAAACGTATATCTATTTACTATCATTTAAATAGGTATTATATTGTATAGCATGTAAGTGTGCTATATGTATTTATGCTAGCTTTCCAATCCTAAGCTATAAACATAAATAAGTATCACTAATATATTCTTATCTTTACTATCCCTTTCACTGAATGTGTGAGATGAGAGATTGTGTTTTAATATAAGTTGCTATGTTTTAACTATGATAACTATAAGTGTAATTATCAATGTGTGGAAGTAATTTTATGTTCATGAATGTAGCAGCCCTAAATCTACTCCACATTACATTGTATATTATTTATCATTTAATATTATTTACAGCAGATAAATCCCCGTCCATAAGACTGGTGCTGTGCCTGATTGTTGTGCCTGATTGTTGTGCACCCTTGTACCACCCACAGGGTATGTGTATATGTCTATTTTATATCCATGTATTTGTATATAGTACCATCACTTAATGCGTGGTGACGAATCATGTGTACTTTATCATTACGACTAATGCGTAATGGTGTATTATTATCTATCTTGTGTGTATTACATTGTATGCATGTATTATCATTACGTTATTCGTAATGATGTAATATCATAATTCCAATATTTCATATGTGTAGTAAGTAATGGTATTCATGCTTTGAGTAACTACAGTATTATTGGTAATTGTCCATATGTATTAACCCGTGTATGGAATTATATGTATCTTGTATGAATTGTGTGAGATGTATATTATATCATTATATTTATTGTTACAGGGTGTCGTTTATCGTTCATCAATCTCTCATCCTACCAAATAAACGACCTCACAAACCAGCAGAGTGTTGCTAATCTTTGCCTCACGTTGACCCTTCTATAAAACAACCTATAGTAATTGCCTATAGAATCTACTTTGTTTAAAACAGAAATGCTCTACCTACATTTTCACAAAGGTCTCCCTCCGACATTGCACTTTTATATTCAAGAGGATAAAAAGTTCAATTAATGCTTAAGAATAGAAAAAGAGTGTTGTTGATCTACGTGAATGCTGTTAAACTGCATGGATAACATATTGGGGTACTACGTCCAACGGGGTAGATTTCTGGTCCTACAAAAGTCAACTCAACATGCGGTGCCTGAAATCAGAGACTGGAACCAAATTTCCAAATTCTTCAACTACCCAAATCTTGGTCTTGGGAGTATTTCTTAACTTCTAAAATTGTTGCAAACTAGCTTAAAACAAATATATAAATGAACTATTCTAAGTGGTATTACCTTGTACAGGCACGATTTCATCGTGGCGTAAATGTTAGACATTTTCCACGAACACCGAGTCGACGTGTCAGAACTATCAAGGCGAGTGAGCAGCGAGGTTGGTGAAAGGGGCCACTTGTTACTTCGTCGACTCGAATCTCCGTCTTCTGGATAATATCAGACACTGTAATCCTGCTGAGGCTCTATAACAATAATGATAAATCTAAAAATATCACAGTTTGTTGTCGTCAATTTCCAGTAAAGGAATTATTTCTAAAATAATACAGGTACATACCAGATAGTTCCGCCAGCATCGTCTGCCACGTTGTTTTGTTCTGTCAAATATAGCCACCAAGTATATAAGAGCGAAAACGATTGGATACATGTTTCAAGTTGACCAATGAAAATGCTTGTAACGTAAGAGCACTGACCTGACCTAATTTTGTCATGAAACCCGATACACACGTCTATTATGTACAACTTCAGTAACGCATTGCTACAATCGAGATTAATTCAACGTATATATAGTATTAAAGGGGACAACTGCTGATGAAAAACCTTCTTCACCTTATTTGAATATTTTCCTTATTTTCTTGTATCTGATTGGTCAAATGTCTGTGCAAAACCAATCAAAACACTCGACATAGCTATTATGAATAATGCAAAGATATAAGGATATATTAAAACATAGTATTTCCCTTCTGGCTTTATTATTAGAAACCGCGCAAGTAAACAGAGGAGACGAGCCAGCCAAATCACCGACGAATCAAAGCTATGTGGCGTGTTTATCGTACATTTGGTGCAGTTTGCTTGTACGTTCTGTGTTTATTAATTCACTGCGAGTGCCTCAGTCCCACTGAATATGATAAACAGAGACAAAGCGTGATAAAAGCGGAACAATCGAGGCGGTTCGGATCCTCTAATGTATTGAACGAAGGCGAGAAGAAACTTAGCCAGATACTGGTTGAAGCAAAGCAGAGGGAATACAACTCTTCGAGGGTTAATGGAACCATTTTCCCACCTTCAGTCAGCTTTTTCCAGACAAAGAAGCTCATCGAGAAGAGCCAGGTGTTTAAGATAATACAGCGAATGCCTAAAGGTAGGTTTATTTATTTATTATTTAATTATCATTTTTAATTAGAACTGCATTTCAGCAGATATGCCACACGTCATGTCCCCGGTTATTTTTGTATGTCAGTAATTGATTTATAGCAGAGACCATACGGTATATGGTCTCTGTTTATAGCTATTTCTGCATGATCATGATAATTAAATGCTGACACGGCATGATCAAGACGGATTATTTACAGAGATACGTTCTATTTTCATATCACCTTGGAAGTATGTTTAACACAATAATTCATAAGTATCAGTGGGTTTAATTATATAAGAGGTTTAGAGATTTGCAACAGTTCATCTGTTAAATCCCTCACGCTCTATGCTATATACGCGTGATATATTTAATCAGAATGATCTACATCGCACTCAAACATGTACCAGTTAATTTGGATATGAGCATATATGCCCAACTAGTTCCTGTATGTTGCATTGACTATGCCCTGTCAGAGGCTAGATATTGTATGACATTTTAATAATAATAAAGCTTCGAGGTCAGGTTAAAGTTCAGGCTATTTGTCCATATTAATTCCACACCTTGTGTTATGGGTCAAGCACCTTATGCTTAACAACGATATGCTATGACAGTAGATATGTCCTGTGACCCGAGAGCACGCGTGATACAGCCTGATGATGTATACACAGGGGCTTCACATGTCACGAGGATATATTTATCCTACCCCAAACTTTGCTAGGGATATGATTTGTCTTTCCTTGATACGGAAACAAACATTGACATCCTCGTGTTCTGTTCGTACAAGTCTGTCGTATTTCTGGTGTCCTCTTTATCATTTTGTTATGAATATAATCTTGAAACCATTTTCTAGTATCGGAAAAGAGTCTAAAATTTCATGAAAAGAATTCAGGATGGAAGAACAGAAACTTCCTTGTTATAGGAGTGTTTTTGTATTATAATATAAAGGTTGGTTGGGTTGTTGTTTAACACCGCACTCAGCAATATTCCAGCTATTTAGTGGTAAAATATGAAGGGTCCACGGCAGATATTACAGCTGAATCTATAATTGTGCTGTAATATCCTCTCCTCTCTCCACACACACAGAGATAGACACCCCCACCACGCGCGCGCGCGCACACGCACACACACACACACACACCGACCCCATCCAATTATAAAATCACTGGTTACGTAACTTTGAAAATTGCACATGTTCATCCTTGTATTCTGTGTCAGCTGGCATACAGCATGACCTCACCACGCCTGTCTCACTGACAAAGTTAAGTTTGCTATAGCCCTATACCCACACCAACGACTTCCTGCACGACATGTGGTCTCCCAGCACGCTGTGATCAGACAATCAGGTTACACGGTCAGCAAGTTGGTCTATTTTAAAAATCACAGATATCTGAACGCGATACCCGGATTTATGTCTGTTTGTGACAGTTTTTATGTACCATGTAACTGTGCTGCGTTCGTTAACAAGCGTTCTTTCTAATCTGGCGTATTACTTCCTCGTAGCCATGGTATAACTGTATAGGTCACTGTTTTGGGGTACTCAGACGACTGCCTTTATCGCTGTTACATGTGATCTTTTCTCTTGGCGATTTGAAGCTTGCTGAAAATATTACCACAAGGAAATATTTCTCGGGTTTCGGATCGACTATTTCAATCCCGTGCGTTAGTTTTCAAATATACGCCATGAATTGAGTGAGTGAATTGGGTTTTACGCCGCTTTTAGCAATATTCCAGCAATATCACGGCGGGGGACACCAGAGATGGGCTTCACACATTGTACCCATGTGGGGAATCGAACCCGGGCCTTCGACGTGACGAGCCTACGCTCTACCCCGCCGACATATCTTCAGTCTGTCTTTACCTATGTTTTGTTAGCATAAAAAAGGCCCTACCCCATCACATTTAAGAAAAAGGCGTCCGCGAAACATCTATTTTTAATGGAGAATTATATTTCGATATATAAATACAGCTGTAAAAAACGAATTTGTAAGCAGGTTCTTATGATATTATCAAATGTACAAAATCGATATGTTATAGACATAAATACGATACGTTTATCTATACTTAGATATAAACTAATATAATCAATGAAAACATCGCTAAGGATGTTAATTATGTAACTGAGGGTATAGCTGAAATGAATCGATTGTACCGCTCGAGGCTGTCACACATTGTACACAGCCGAACACGCGATGTTAGTCAACGATGTCGGTCATATCGTCACCCGTGGGTGTATGGTCGTCATTTGACGATCGGCAATTCATCACGAATCTTGTAAATGTGGATGATATTTCGAAAGTGTATAACCTACACTATTCAGTAAAACGTTCGTGTCAATGCGATAATTCCAGCGTTGGTATTGATGGGTGGACTAAAACGCACGAATATTGACTGAGTGAGTTTAGTTTTACGCCGCAATGAGCATCATTCCGACAGTTTCTTGCGAGACCAGAATTGGGCTTCACAAATTGTGCACACGAAGGAAAACGACCTCGAACCGACAACGTGAGTGAGTGAGTTTGGTTTTACGCCGCTAATAGCAATATTCCAGCAACATCACGACGGGGGACACCAGAAATGGGCTTCACACATTGCACCCATGTGGGGAATCGATCCCGGGTCTTCGGCGCCCCGTCGACAAGGTGACTATTGGCCGCTCTGATCATTGGGCTGACCCACAGCCTCCGATAATGATTATGCGTGTAGATCAGTAGTTATTAAAGAGCATGAGAGATTGAGTATTGTTTGACGCCGCAGTCATGGCTGTGCATTTTACTGGACTCCTTCAGCAAATATTGGTGCTGGGATTGCGAGGCTTGCCTACACTACACTCAGTGGCTTGAAAAAGACGCTTTTGTGAGTTAGTGTACTTTGAATCTACCAGTGCGATTGAAAATTACTTTATTGTGTATAATGATTGTTACCCCGACTTTTAGAACCGGGAAAAAATACCTACACACCTGAAAACTGTATTTGACAAAAACGTTACAAACGTTATCAACACATAGGTTGAAAACAGTTTCCGAAAAACTGCAAACACAAATCTGCCAATTTTCTAGTGTCGACAGTAACTGTTGTGATGTTGCTTGATCGTTTCTAAAAGCAGCGTGAGGCCATACTCACGCACGCACATATACGAGTATTCGAACCCGGACCTGCCGCTTGACGAAACAACACTTACGCCACTGGGCCACCCCACCGCCACTGAAATTACAAGTGTGATACCCATATCAAATACATCCCCAAATTGTTGTTTTCATTTTTTTGATAATCACTAAACATGGGTGTTTTCTTTCCGGTAGATACATTGGAACATAAGGCTATTTACATCCAGCTGACTGGCACAGAATCAGTCCGCGTTGTGTTGAAAAATGAAGCCGTGATATTATGGAAAAATGATAACCTTTAACCCTGTATAACGAACACGCTCGTACCAATATGGTTGAACAACTTCTTTGTTAAAGTGAGGACTTATGAAAGAAGTTGTTCATCCATATATTGTTATCCCCTTCTTTCTGCTCCAACTTCTAAATGTCCCCCAAAGAAATAAACTCGAGTCCTACTTTTGAGTTCGTTATTATGTGAGTGAGTGAGTTTAGTTTTACGCCGCATCCAGCGTATTCCAGCTATATATGTGGCGGCGATCTGTAAATAATCGAGTCCGGACCAGACAGTCCAGTGATCAAAAGCATGAGCATGGATCTACGCAATTGGGAACCGATGACATGTGTCAACCAAGTCAGTGAGCCTGACCACCCGATCCCGTTAGTCGCCTTTTACATAAAGCACGGTTGCTAAGGGCAAATTATAACCCGGACGCACATATGCACACGCACGTACGCACGCACACACACACGACGTTGTAAATGCAATAATCTGAAACTGAATTTTAAACGTCATTTCACCTCACCCACAGTACAAGAGACTATATTCTGCATTCCTTTCAGGCAGGAATATATATGATTATTAGAGTAACATTAAAATTGAAGAAAGATATAATCATGTACAAAGGTTTTCTTTTACTCTGAAAATGTTTCCTTGAGGAAATATACGTAAAATTTTCCTCAATACGTTTCCTTAGCTTTTGTCACACGACCCCCATAAATCCGGAAGCGGAAAGTATTGATGATACGAAACATATCTGCAATCCATGAATATCCTATGGTGGCTGATTAGGGCCATCGCTTTCTCACCTTAAAATTCGGAAGCGAGAAAGCGATATCACGAGACGAAAAAACGATAACATGAGACGAGAAAGCGATAACACGAGACGATAAAAGCGGAAGCACGAGACGAGAAATCGATAACGCGAGACGAGAAAGCGATAACGCGAGACGAGAAATCAATTTTAAGGCGAGAAAGTGATGGCCCTAATCGGCCACCATAATATCCGGGTTAGATTTGATTTTCAGCAGCGCATGCTTGTTTATTCCTACGGAGATCCGAGCTAGAATTTCATCTTCAGCAAACCAGGGTCCCGATCCACAAATCGTTCGTAACGTTACGACCTGTCGTAACCTTATAGTTCATCATAGGCTTACGAATGCTGTAGCGCTACGAACGATTTGCGGATAGCGACCCGGGGTTCCGATCCACAAAGGTTTCGTAACGTTACGACCTGTCGTAACCCTATAGTTTATCATTGGCTTACGAATGCTGTAGCGCTACGAACGCTTTGTGGATAGCGACCCGGGGTTCCGATCCACAAAGCTTTCGTAACGTTACGACTTGTCGTAACCCTATAGTTTATCATTGGCTTACGAATGCTGTAGGGGTACGAACGATTTGTGGATCGCAACCCAGGCTTGTCTCGCTTCGCAAGGATTCAAATTAGAATAATTATTGATCTTCAGCGACCTACGCTTGTCTATTCCAAGAATTTGGATCCAACTTAGAATCGTTCTTCAGCAACCCATGCATATCTCACCCGTGAAAATCTTGGATGGAATTGCTCCCTGGGTGAGAATGTATCTTTAGCAATCCACGTTTATCGTGGATCTTCTGGTAATGCTTTGTGACACGGTTCATACATGTCATCATTCCAAATGTCTTAGATCGATCTGGTCCAGATTGGATTATTTACAAACTGGCGTCATAAAGCCAGACTGACTGACTAAGTTTGGTTTTACGCCGCTTTTAGCAATATTCCAGCAACATCACGGAAAGGGACACCAGAATTAGGCTTCACACATTGTACCCATGTGGGGATTCGAACCCAGGTCTTCGGCGTGTCGAGCCAACGCTTTAACCATTAGGCTACCCCACCGCCCCCATAAAGCCAGAACATTGCTGAGTGCGGTGTTAAATAAACAAACATACAAACAAACAAAGTATTCACCAAATTATTATTTAGATTATTAATTGAAAAAAGATGGAAAGAAACAAACTTGTGTTTTAAACAGGCTATTGTTCTGTGATCTGTGTTGAACAATACGAGGACACAACGATGGCAAGGAATATTTTACAAATAAGACCAGTTACGTCATGGAATGAGATACTAATGCTGTATATTCAATATTCTATTTGTCGGTGACACTTTCAATTTCACGAAGGTAAGATAAACTAGTTCCACCTGTCCTGGTATCCATGGCAACGTCACACCATGACAGATGTCCGTGATTACAGCTGGGACCCTGACGATAACGTTCCGCAGGGTAGACAATTGAACAGCTGTTCTGGGATGCTGGTTACGTCGATCAATCCGTAATTAGTTTACACATTTCATTACGTACTATTACGTATTCATAGATTAATACGCACCTATTGATTAATATATACGTAAATGCAGTTAAAAAATAAATAATTAAAAATCGAAACAAACATTCGTTCACGTTACGATAGCATATCTGTCACGCCAAACCTGGTGTTATTTAACTACTAGTACTTCTGGTAGTGCACTTAAGTTTAGGGTTAGGTGAGTGAGTGGTTTTCCTCCGTTTTTAAGCAATATTCCTGCAATGTCACAGCGGGGGACATCAGAAACGGGCTACACACATTGTGCCCCTCGAATGTGCCCTAGACTAATGCTTAGTCTCTGAGTGGGTGATATATAATTTTGATAGTAACAAACAAGCGGCCTGTAAATAATCGAGTCTGGACCAGACAATCCAGTGATCAACAGCAGGAGCATCTTTTGCGCTTTAGCACTGAACCGATGACATGTGTCAACCAAGTCAGTTCGAGACCTGAGGACCGATCCCGTTAGTCGCTTTATGACAAGCATAAGTCGCGCTTTATGACAGAATGGGTTGCTGGACCTATTCTACCCCGGATCTTCACGGGCCTCTTGGGTTAGAACACTTCCGAGACTATTATTATAGTGGTGGATAGTAGAGGTGGTCCAATTGATTGAAATAATCGAAGATTGGTCGTAATGACTAAACGACTAAGCAATCGATCACATTTTGTCATAATCGAACACAAACAATTTTGGAACACTTGTTTGCATTGACAATATTTATCACAAGGTTGGTTTTGTTTGTTGCGTTTCATAAGCACTACAAGCTCGTTCCAAGTCATGATTAAAATTTATCTTGAAGACTCCATGAAATTTATGTTCCTAACATATTAGTCATTCTTTAAAGACATGACATTTGCCAAAACAACCGAAAGAACTACATGTTTTTTCTATATTTTTGTGTACATTAACAAACATAACAAGGACAATTTGATAAATAACGCTAAAGAACTATTTTCGATGATTGGTCGGTTGTAATGAACCAATCATCAATTATAAGATTTTAACCAATTCCCAACACTAGTGAATAGACGCTGGGTATTAAACAGAGCCATGTGTTAACTAGTCTGTATCACAGTCTCTCCACCGCATTATTTTGCCCTCCGCCCAGCCCCCCTTCTGCAATGCTGAAGCCCTAAAAGTAGACTAACAACTAGTCTCTGAAATGAACATATTTTACTGAAAGAAGTTCATAGTAAAAAAACTAAAATATAATGAAAAGGAGCCCTGAGACTTTCTTCATTTTCAGAAGCTGAGGAAATCTAGACTTGCCACATTTTCTAGACTTGCGTGGGCTTTCTTGGATATATTTGCTTCAGGGTCTGTACGACAGACTACCCTAAAAGAAGCTTGTCTAGATTTTTCAGATTCAGGATCTCTCATCTCACTTGGACTGCTTTACAATGTATAAGGAATTATTTGTTTCTATCCACATTAGGTATATTCAGAGACTATGCGTCAGTCTGTGTCGCCACGTGGTGTACTATCAACTGAAATACTAGAGTGCAGACACAAACAAACCGGAGGCAAACCTAAATGCTAGTCACCCAGTCTTTGGAAATGTGAACTTGATTTACAGAAAAAGCAGAACTATTATTTACTGCTGCCGTATCATATTACCGAGAGCGAACTACAAACAAAAGGACCTATGCTAAGATCAGGGGTGGAAATAACCCATTGCCCGACGCCCGAGTCTAGTGTTTTTTTCTGTCGGGCAAACAAATTTGTATATCACACTGTACCGGTGTCCAGTTGACTTTCCAATATTAATTATGTTGTTTATTTAAAAATCAACAAGAAAACGGCCGGTATAGTGAAAAATTATCAGGGCAAGTGATTTACATGTGCCACTGTACCGGAGTACACTAGCAATCTTAAAGTTATTTCCACCCCTGTTAAGATGCTTTGATTCTCTGAAATGAGCACATTTTACACAGTGTGCGAAATAGTTTCCAAATTTTGCTAGCAAGTCGGGCTAGTTATGTTTGAAAGTTATTAACCCACAAAATATTTCACTAGCCCGAAATTTTAATGTATAGTGGAAGCTAAGCAAAATATTACAAACATAGATGAGAATAAGATATAGTCGGCAAAAACACGGGTTTGATCATTCAGCTGCTAATATGATGAACATTTTATGAGGCCATAATCTTGCATGATTTAACAGTGTATTATAACTTAATAAGTCGGAGAGAGTGATATATTTACAAAATGACCCCATGAAAATTCACTAGCCAGTCGGGCTGTGGAGATTGACTTGGGCTAGCGGGCCAGTGGCTATTTCGCTCAATGTTTACAGAAAGAAAATACGGTTATCTCTATAAAATATTTTGAAAAGCACCCAAGAGACATTGATCATTTCTTCCAAAACAACCGATGCACTGAACGAATTTTGAAGTTTTCCTGAAAAAGTGTCCTCGTCATGTGTTTGTTTTTCTCCGCCAGGTGGCGCACTGCACACCCATGACTCGTCCATCACGAGTCTGGACTGGCTGATCAAGAATGTCACCTACCGACCTAACTGCTACATGTGCTTTGACCAGAACAAACAGCTGCAGATGCACTTCTACAGTACACCGCCGCAGAATACAGGTAGGGTGACTCATATGGTGATTCCGGGTAGGGCTGGGACGGGTCCAAATTTTCTACCCGGGTACCCCACCCCCCATTACCCTACCCTACAAGATACCCGTTATGTTAATTTCTGGCATCGAATTTGTAAGAAATGGCAATATATTCTTCAGCTCTGAAGTTAAAATTTCGAGTTTCTCAATATCTAAACCTTGCATTATATTCAAAACAGGTGACTGTAAATTATGTATAATTCTTCAAAGACAATACAACCTATTAATCATGAAAGAATAACATATAACATTATTTAATCTATTAGTCACATGATCATAACGGGTCCGGGTATTGAGACGGGTCCAACTGATTGCCCACCCGTCCCGAGTATCCGGGTTACCCGTCCCAGCCCTAATTCCGGGTATGGCTATATCAGGGGTGGATACAGCTTTTTGAGAAAAGTGTGTGTGTGTGTGTGTGCGCGCGCGCGTGCGTGCGTGTGCACACTATTGAGAAAAGAAGGGTGGCTGCACACTTCATTTTCACCCGAGTTTCAATGGTCATTTGATAAACTTTCAGGACAAAGGGGTGTGTGTGTGTGTGTGTGTGTGTGTGTGTGTGTGTGTGTGTGTGTGTGTGTGTGTGTGTGTGTGTGTGTGTGTGTGTGTGTGTGTGTGTTTGCAGTGTTGCCCACCCCCCACCCTCCCTCTGGATCCACCTATGTATATCCCCAATAACCTTTATACTAACCTTTCGAGGGTCGCTTCCCATATCAGAAACGGGCTACACACATTGTGCCCTCGAACCCTGTTCCTTGGCGTGACGAGCGAACGCTCTAACCAATGGAATACCCCACTGCCTCTTGGGTTAGAGTGAGTGAGTGAGTTTAGTTTTACGCCGCACTCAGCAATATTCCAGCTATATGGCGGCGGTCTGTAAATAATCGAGTCTGGACCAGACAATCCAGTGATCAACAGCATGAGCATCGATCTGCGCAATTGGGAACCGATGACATGTGTCAACCAAGTCAGCGAGCCTGACCACCCGATCCCGTTAGTCGCCTTTTATGACAAGCATAAGTCGCCTTTTATGACAAGAATGGGTTGCTGAAGACCTATTCTACCCCGGATCTTCACGGGTCTCTTGGGTTAGAACACTTCCGAGACTATTATTATAGTGGTGAATAGTAGTGGTGGTCCAATTGATTGAAATAATCGAAGATTGGTCGTAATGACTAAACGACCGAGCAATCGATCACATTTTGTCATAATCGAACACAAACAATTTTGGAACACTTGTTTGCATTGACAATATTTATCACAAGGTTGGTTTTGTTTGTTGCGTTTCCTAAGCACTACAAGCTCGTTCCAAGTCATGATTAAAATTTATCTTGAAGACTCCAGGAAATTTATGTTCCTAACATATTAGTCATTCTTTAAAGACATGACATTTGCCAAAACAACCGAAAGAACTACATGTTTTTTCTATATTTTTGTGTACATTAACAAACATAACAAGGACAATTTGATAAATAACGCTAAAGAACTATTTTCGATGATTGGTCGGTTGTAATGAACCAATCATCAATTATAAGATTTTAACCAATTCCCAACACTAGTGAATAGACGCTGGGTATTAAACAGAGCCATGTGTTAACTAGTCTGTATCACAGTCTCTCCACCACATTATTTTGCCCTCCGCCCAGCCCCTTCTGCAATGCTGAAGCCCTAAAAGTAGACTAACAACTAGTCTCTGAAATGAACATATTTTACTGAAAGAAGTTCATAGTAAAAAAACTAAAATATAATGAAAAGGAGCCCTGAGACTTTCTTCATTTTCAGAAGCTGAGGAAATCTAGACTTGCCACATTTTCTAGACTTGCGTGGGCTTTCTTGGATATATTTGCTTCAGGGTCTGTACGACAGACTACCCTAAAAGAAGCTTGTCTAGATTTTTCAGATTCAGGATCTCTCATCTCACTTGGACTGCTTTACAATGTATAAGGAATTATTTGTTTCTATCCACATTAGGTATATTCAGAGACTATGCGTCAGTCTGTGTCGCCACGTGGTGTACTATCAACTGAAATACTAGAGTGCAGACACAAACAAACCGGAGGCAAACCTAAATGCTAGTCACCCAGTCTTTGGAAATGTGAACTTGATTTACAGAAAAAGCAGAACTATTATTTACTGCTGCCGTATCATATTACCGAGAGCGAACTACAAACAAAAGGACCTATGCTAAGATCAGGGGTGGAAATAACCCATTGCCCGACGCCCGAGTCTAGTGTTTTTTTCTGTCGGGCAAACAAATTTGTATATCACACTGTACCGGTGTCCAGTTGACTTTCCAATATTAATTATGTTGTTTATTTAAAAAATCAACAAGAAAACGGCCGGTATAGTGGAAAAATTATCAGGGCAAGTGATTTACATGTGCCACTGTACCGGAGTACACTAGCAATCTTAAAGTTATTTCCACCCCTGTTAAGATGCTTTGATTCTCTGAAATGAGCACATTTTACACAGTGTGCGAAATAGTTTCCAAATTTTGCTAGCAAGTCGGGCTAGTTATGTTTGAAAGTTATTAACCCACAAAATATTTCACTAGCCCGAAATTTTAATGTATAGTGGAAGCTAAGCAAAATATTACAAACATAGATGAGAATAAGATATAGTCGGCAAAACACGGGTTTGATCATTCAGCTGCTAATATGATGAACATTTTTATGAGGCCATAATCTTGCATGATTTAACAGTGTATTATAACTTAATAAGTCGGAGAGAGTGATATATTTACAAAATGACCCCATGAAAATTCACTAGCCAGTCGGGCTGTGGAGATTGACTTGGGCTAGCGGGCCAGTGGCTATTTCGCTCAATGTTTACAGAAAGAAAATACGGTTATCTCTATAAAATATTTTGAAAAGCACCCAAGAGACATTGATCATTTCTTCCAAAACAACCGATGCACTGAACGAATTTTGAAGTTTTCCTGAAAAAGTGTCCTCGTCATGTGTTTGTTTTTCTCCGCCAGGTGGCGCACTGCACACCCATGACTCGTCCATCACGAGTCTGGACTGGCTGATCAAGAATGTCACCTACCGACCTAACTGCTACATGTGCTTTGACCAGAACAAACAGCTGCAGATGCACTTCTACAGTACACCGCCGCAGAATACAGGTAGGGTGACTCATATGGTGATTCCGGGTAGGGCTGGGACGGGTCCAAATTTTCTACCCGGGTACCCCACCCCCCATTACCCTACCCTACAAGATACCCGTTATGTTAATTTCTGGCATCGAATTTGTAAGAAATGGCAATATATTCTTCAGCTCTGAAGTTAAAATTTCGAGTTTCTCAATATCTAAACCTTGCATTATATTCAAAACAGGTGACTGTAAATTATGTATAATTCTTCAAAGACAATACAACCTATTAATCATGAAAGAATAACATATAACATTATTTAATCTATTAGTCACATGATCATAACGGGTCCGGGTATTGAGACGGGTCCAACTGATTGCCCACCCGTCCCGAGTATCCGGGTTACCCGTCCCAGCCCTAATTCCGGGTATGGCTATATCAGGGGTGGATACAGCTTTTTGAGAAAAGTGTGTGTGTGTGTGTGTGCGCGCGCGCGTGCGTGCGTGTGCACACTATTGAGAAAAGAAGGGTGGCTGCACACTTCATTTTCACCCGAGTTTCAATGGTCATTTGATAAACTTTCAGGACAAAGGGGTGTGTGTGTGTGTGTGTGTGTGTGTGTGTGTGTGTGTGTGTGTGTGTGTGTGTGTGTGTGTGTGTGTGTGTGTGTGTGTGTGTGTGTGTTTTGCAGTGTTGCCCACCCCCCACCCTCCTCTGGATCCACCTATGTATATCCCCCAATAACCTTTATACTAACCTTTCGAGGGTCGCTTCCCATATTAGGAAAGTGGCATATTTACAAATATTTACTAATATTTACTAATCATGCAACCTCGAAACGGGGGTTAAGTGGGTGAGTGAGTTTAGTTCTATTCCGCTTTTAGCAATATTCCAGCAATATCACGGCGGGGGACACCAGAAATGGGCTTCACACATTGTACCCATGAGGGGAATAAAACCCGGGTTTTCGGTGTTACGAGCGAACGCTTTAAAGACTGGGCTACCCCATCTCCCCTCTATGGGATAAAGCGTAAGAGACTCTTCATAGCCCATAGGAAAGACTGCTGTATGTTCTCGGTCATCGACTAGACATTCCAGATTGTTGTTCAGATTTGAGATTATTTCATCGAGAACTCTGAAACAAACTTTTTCAAAGGTTAGTCTGCAATGGAAAACGCTAGTTTGAAAGTGATGCGCTTTGATCGAGGAAACTACTTTCTTTCGCAAAAGAACATTCTGAAGTGACCGTGAAGATCCGGGTTAGAGTTGGTCTTTAGCAACCAATGCGTAAGAGGCGACTAACGGGATCTGGTGGCCAGACTCGCTGACACATGACATTGTATCCCAATTGCGTAGATCGATGCTTATGCTGTTGATCACTGGATTGTCTGGTTCAGACTCGATTATTTACAGACCGTCGCCATGTAGCTGGAATATTGCGGCCTTAAAAACAGTCAAACTTTCTGAATTGATCTGTAGTGATATATCTTCAGATCTTTGATCAGCGGTATCCAGGACCAGAACTAAGATATGAGTTTAATGAAATTGGTCAACTGGAATGTCAAATATTATGTTGTAAAGAAGACTCCGTTTGTCTTCAGACTGCAAGTGGCAAACTGTCAAGAGTATGAGAGCTCGGTCGGGGAATATCGATCTGTTTGATTCATAGTAAGTATATGTTTAATTCAACGATCACAATTGTTTTGACTTCTACTATCTTCCTATGACAACCATCATCATTATAATATTTTACGTCTATAGCGTCTTATATCCTACTAGTTTCTATTCAGCGGCGTTGTGAAGGAATGACTGACTGACTGAGTTTGGTTTTACGCCGCTTTTGCAATACTCCAGCAATATCACGGCAGGGGACACCAGAAATGGGCTTCACTCATTGTTCCCATGTGGGTATTCGAACTCGGGTCTTCGGCGTGACGAGCCAACGCTTTAACCACTAGACTACCCCACCGCCCCTGTTGTAAAGGAAATATGGTTGAATTGATATAGGGACACATATCAGGCAATACGAAAAAGCTGTTCAGTGACGTTATAAATATGTTTCAAATATGGGAGCTAACACACCATATTGCCTGGGGTCGTACTCGAGCGTATACTACATAGTCTTTTGAATATTAAGCTTACTCAGTGTAATGCTGAATCGTTTCATAGTAAATTAAATAAATAATCTTTTAGTATTCAACATCACTGGTTATGTAATAGATATATGTGTCTAAGTCATTGTCACGCCGAAGACCCGGGTTCGAATCCCCACATGGGTACAATGAGTGAAGCCCATTTCTGGTGTGCCCCGCCGTGATATTGCTGGAATATTTTGTTAAAAGCGGTGTAAAACCAAACTCAGTCAGTCAGTCAGTCTAAGTCATTATTAAAAGTTTCATTATCACATGGGTTCGGGTCCGATCCACAGAGCACGCACAGCTTAACGACCTATTTTAAGATTTATAACAAACTTTCCATTATAACATAAATTTCCATTAGGGGCTTCCTTCACGCCGAAGCCCATTGCTGGTATCCCCCGCCGTGATATTGTTGGAATATTGCTAAAAGCGGCTTAAAACTAAACTCGCTCACTCACTAAATGTCTATGATACTGATAAATCCCTCACTATTTTCAGTTTGCTCTCCAACATTAGCATCGTCGTGGACAACCCCCAAGATGTATATGTGACCGTGAACGACGTGTGGAAGAAGTTTGGCAGCTACTTCGTCGTGGTGAATGGATTGTTTCTGTACGAGCCTGTCTTCAGGGACTATCTGGTTGAGGCATTGACACAGTTCAAGGCAGATAATGTGCAGTACCTGGAAATAAGGGCATTGCTGCCGCGGGTATGTTGACGTCAGCGTTGTTAGAATTGGCTTGTCGTAAGAGGCGTGGTACGACGTAAATTGTAATAAAAACGCAAATTGTGTCGTAAGAAGGCGACTAATGGGATCCGATGGTCAGGTGTACTGACTTGGTTGACACATGTCATCGTATCCCAATTCTGTAGATCGATGCTCATGCTGCTGATCACTGGATTGTCTGGTCCAAACTCGATTATTTCCAGACTGCCGCCATTTAGCTGGAATATTGCTGAGTGCACAGCATTCAACGGCAAACAAGGAAAATAAGAGTATTAATACTATATTCAAGGTTATAACGTAAGATACTCTGCTCACAGCTGTATGACCTCAATGGTACTGAAAGCGACCCCGAATACACGCTCCAGCTGTATCGGGACGTCATCAAGCGGTTCCAGAAGGACAACCCCGATTTCATTGGATGCAAGCTGATTCAGAGCGCTATCAGGTATCTCAACAATTTGTAATGTGTCATGGTTGCATTGGTGACCTGTCTCGGCAAATACTTGAAGGTTGTCATGTGTGATTAAATGTAGATTTTAAGTCGTGTTAAGATAAGTTATGTTTGTTTGTATGGTAGCTTACTAAACACTGTCTCGACTCAGGTACAGCTGATCCACACACATGTAGGATCTGCAAACAAAACGAATGGTAGTAATTGGGGCGGGGAGTTCATGGGTAGCCATGTTGCTCGAATACGCTGTGCATTTCCTTAGAAAGTGAGTAAGTGAGTTTAATTTTATTCCGCCAAGTTTTATAGCAAGTCAGTTGTATACCGTAATGTCCAAGATTTAATAAAAACAACAACAAAAAAACCCCATTCATTTACCTGTATAGTTTTTCACCTCAATGATTGAGTGAGTGGGTTCAGTTTTACGCTGTTTTTTAAGCAATATTCCAGCAAAATCACGGCGAGGGACACCATAAATGGGCTTCACACATTGTACCCATGTGGGGAATCGAACCCGGGCCTTCGGTATGAGGAGCGAACTCTTCAACCACCAGGCTACCCCAGAATCCTGTGATAGGGTCTTTGCCCTGTTTTTCTGTCAGCACAATGTCCACACTTATGGGTTTCACCAGGGGTAAACGTCGAAGACACGTATGGCTTCCGACTCGATACAAATACTCTTCACATCAAGGTTCCTTTGCAATTTCCAGTAACCGATATGATAACACACTTCTCAAGCTCTAGGATGTTGCATGTAGGTTGTGTCTATATCGTCGTCATGTTAAGCAACTCCAAACATTGATTACACAACAGTCTCGTTTCCTGCTGACTGGGTTCCGTCCTATTGCACAACCGAGTACAATAACCAGTCCAGAATTTTGAGACCAACTCATTCAACTGGATATGTGAACATTAATCAGTATTATTTGATATATCTAATCACTTGTGTATTGCAACACTTCTAATCCTTGCAAACACGCCGTGCAGCGTTGCTCTGTCCTACAGCGTGCTCTGACAAACGGAAATCTAGAAATCGTGGAAATCTCAAAACGAGGCTCGGCCGCTAGAAATGTTTGGCGGTCTGGTACGGACTTGATATTACATCAATCACAGAGTTGGTTACAAAAGTTTACTAAATAAGCGCAAAGAACACATAACAGGTGTAACCAGTGAGTTAGATGAATTGTGAATCATTGTACGACCTCTTCTAACAGGGGCAGTCTTTGACGTCTTAGTTAACGACATGCTGCCTAAACCTCGTCATAAAATATAGAAATACGATTTTTTTTAAAAGTTTGAAATTAAAATTAATTTGTAAATACCATTTTCTTATGAAACAAGGAATTTGAATTACATGTAACCATAGTTGTTTGTAGTGTCTCTTGTCACTTCCACACGAAAAAATTCGGATCCGCTGAAAAGTAGGTCATTGTCTGAATTGGTTAATGAGACTCACGTTTCGGTTTGTTTAACAGTCTGTGGCGAAAAACACCATTTACCCCTTCTTTTACAGGTTTTCACCCCTGAAGAGTGTGATGTCGTCACTGAAACAAGCAATCACCTTCATCCGGAAGTACCCCGACGTTTTCCGGGGTTTCGACCTTGTGGGTCAAGAGGGCCCCGGTCACACCCTGTACTACTACCTAGCGGATCTCCTCTACCCCTCGCAACAGTCGCCGCCCATCAACATGCCCTACTTCTTTCACGCAGGGGAAACGGGTGGGTGCTTAGGTGGTACCAAATTTACTTGAGTTTTGTCATGCCTATGCTAGGCTGTATTCAGCTGGCTGCACTCAGATGGATTTGTGTGATCGTGCGTGCGTGCGTGCGTGCGTGTGTGTTGTACCACATTGTGTATAGTTACAATTCGAGAGAACTTATCTCCAAATGCGAATGCTCCGCAATATTCAGTTAACTGTACTGATATGGGTTTGTGCGTACGTGCGTGCGTGCGCGCGTGTGTGTATGAAACAGCTGTCAGTGCTATCAGGTCAGCTGATTCACTTCCCCTCTGCGTGATTATCTAAGACAGCCTCAATAGCAGAATGCGTCAGGTTATGTTTCAAATCAGCCAATCAACGTTCGAAGCATTGGAAGAATTGATATACCCTGTGGTTGTTGCTCTTGCTATTCATCACTGGTTGAAGTAGTCAAGGATCAATACTTCTTAATTCTCCCCCATAAAGCTAGAATGTATCTTGATCGTAGGTTAAGACATCATTCAGTCTCAAGAAAGAATGATTGTCAATGTATATTTTATTTAAGATGAAATAAAGTTTCATGCCATTCTTTATGTTGTCACAGGGGTTAGCCTAGTGGTTAAAGCGTTCGTTCGTCACGCTGACGACCCGTGTTCGATTCCCCACATGGGTACTATGTGTGAAGCCCATTTACGGTGGCCCCGTCGTTATATTGCTGGAATATTGCTGAAAGCGGCGTAAAATCATACTCACTCACTCACTAGTGTGTCACAAAAATGAACTGAATATGTAGATGAACTTCAGCTTTATTTATGTCGTCTTAATTATTATCCTCATTCGGTGTATTATGCCAACAAGTCATGATACTAACTCAGAGCTAGAAGTTTGTTCCCATTTTATCTACTATTTACCAAACCAGATTGGGAGGGTAGCCAGGTCGATCTGAATCTCATCGACGCCGTCCTGCTCAACTCCACCCGCATCGGCCACGGCTTTGCCCTCTATAAACACCCGGAAGTGATGAAGATGATTAAAGAGAAAGATATAGCTATTGAGGTCAACCCGATATCTAACCAGGTGAGCTCTTATCTGAATATTTGTAATATAATAATAATTGCAGAAATATACCCGGACTGTTATAACATCTAATTGAAATTAAGAAAAGTGTCTAAAGTATCTACTTATTTATTTTACAAAAAAACATAATAATTTTATCTGTGTAATACCTTATTGACGGCAGGTCACTGTAAGCCTACAGCAGGTAAAGTTGCTGCCACTGAAACTTATGACCATATGCCAATATGTATAGACCTGTGCTGGTGTACTGTAGCAGATACCAAAAGAAATAAAAATAAAACAAAAAACAAAATAATCTGGAACGTAACGTTAAACTTTATTTAACCATCACCATCACCACGTCATCTTGGTTAAGAAGTATCGCAGAGCGTACATAACCGTGTTTAGAACAACACGATGTCGTTGAAATCTTAGGTCGGAACGTGGGGCGGCGGGGTAGCCTAGTGGTTCAAGCGTTGGCTCGTCACGCCGAAGACCCGGGTTCGATTCCCCACATGGGCACAATGTGTGAAGCCCATTTCCGGTGTCCCCCACCGTGATATTGCTGGAATATTGCTAAAAGCGGCGTAAAACTAAACTCAGTCAGTCAGTCAGTTAGGTGGGAACGTTGATCTTATACCGGTACTCTCGAATTGATGAAAGCTCGATTCGATGGATACAATTACTTCACCTTTCAAAGTACCGTAAACAACGGTTATGACGAACACAAAGGGACATGTAGTTTAGTTCGTTATAGCCCAAGTTCTTTATACTCATTTCGAGGAAATATAGAACTCGTGGATGGAAAATACAGTTCGTTATGTCCGTTAGTTCGTTAAATATTTGAAACATCCTATTTCACAACACAGTTTTATAAACATAATGACTTCAACAAACATAAATGTTATAAATAATTTGTGCCTATTTTTTATATAATGTTGGGAAAATAAGAGATTCTGATGTTTTTATGTAAAACCAGGGATAATCTACAACATTATATAGTCTCCCTGGTAAAACGCATGTAACTTCTTATTATATTTATGAATGTATTTTGGGCCAGTGGCCTATTACTGAATAAAATGTCTGTCTGTCTGTCTGTTAGTTCGTTATAAGCGACGCCGTTTATAGTTGTTTGCTGTAGTTCCACATTATTTAAATGCATATAGGGTCATCCTCGATGAATAACACTTCCAGATGGCTTATAGCTACAATGTATTTGGTACTCTATCATACTGGCCTTGAAACAAAAAAAATCACAAATTCCCACATGGGGCGCGGTGGGCGAGCTGGCTAAGGCGCCAGGCTAGTGTTCCAGCGAAGTTGAGGTGTCGGGATCGAGCCCACCTGTGACCGGGTGTAAAATCCCTGGAGTCAACTTTGTGTGCAGACTCTTTCAGTGTTCTCACAACCCCTAGTGTACAGTACACAACCCTGTGCACTTAAAAGAACCCACGAATCCGTTGGTATATGAGTGAGTGAGTTTAGTTTTACGCCACACTCAGCAATATCCCAGCTATATGGCGGTGTTGGTATATGACCAGATGGTGGCCACATGAATACGTGCAAACACCTAGTTGCGGGTACAGCAACGTGCAGTGAAGTTGGACAAAGTACTGTGACTATGTGTCCCAGTCCACCCAGCTGTGAATGGGTACCTCGTTAGGATGCGCCTAGTGGCTGCAAGAGTTGTATACTCCCAATTGAGTTGAAATTGATAATACGATGTGCCGTTGAGATTGACATCCAATGATCGAGGGGAAAATACCAGCGCCTTGAGCATGCACTAGTTGCCTGGATATGTGCGCTATATAAATATCCTATAATAATAATAATAATAATAATAATAATAATAATAATAATAATAATAATAATAATAATAATAATAAAAAGTCAACAAATCTTTGGTAAGTTTACATTTCCATTTTTTCAGGCACTCGGAAAAAGAACAGATTCTCCGTGCTTCTTTGTTATATATTCAAAGACATTTTAAGATTTAGAAGTTGGGACCCCGATCCACAAATAATTCGTAACGTTACGACCTGTCGTAACTCAACTTACCACAGGCTTAGGTAAATTGTAGCGCTACGAACGCTTTGTGGCTCAGGTTGCAGATTATTAACTTTAATCTGGTTTCAAGGCCGAGAGGCGTGGCAGCCCTGCTTTGTGGTTCAGGATGCAGATTATTAACTTTAATCTGGTTTCAAGGCCGAAAGGCATGGCAGGGCTGCCACGTTGTTCGCTCGTCACGCCAAAAGCTGGTTCCAATCCTTGTTCGGGTAAATTACGTGAAGCTCAATTCTTGTGCTGATTTTTGAGGAATATTGGTAAAAGCTGTTAATACCATATTCCCTGATTGGTACGTGATCACAGTGGCTAATACTTGTTGCAGGTACTAAAGCTTGTGGATGACTTGCGTGATCATGGAGCTGTAAGTCTGTTTGCCGACAACTTCCCGCTGGTAGTAAGCAGTGACGATCCTGCCGCTTGGGGCGCTCTTCCTCTGTCACATGACTTCTACATGGCGTACATGGCGCTGGTGGGGGAAGACGATGGACTAGAGGTTCTTAAACAGCTTGCTATGAACTCTATACAGTAAGTATTCACTCAGCCCGTAGCAGATAATAGTCAGTGGTAAATGAGCGGAAATCGGGAATAACCTCCCCTTTCGTGACGGATGGGCGAAAATGGCTTTAACGATTTTCTCTTCGTCTGCATAGATTTAATATACCATAGCTATCCTACCCTGCCACGACTATGTAGGTTCTTTGTGGGCGCTTTTTATAGCACAGATTGCCTTCGCAGAACCCTTCGCTGGTCACATCGTGGACAAATGAGCATTGCTCGAAAATCGATGTTTGGACTATTTGATGTTTACGCGGCACTTAGCCGTATTCCTCCAATATGCCGACGGTCTGTAAATAATCAGGTCTTGACCAGATAATCCAGTGATTGATATTATGAGCAACGATCATAGACGTCAATGCACGATGTTCAAACGCAATGAACCAAGTCATCTTGTTTGTCGCATCTCTCGGTCTGCATAGGTTGTTGGAGACCAGGGTACCGTTGTACAAAACAACCTTAGCGCTACGACAGTAGTAAGTCTATCTTAGGGGAGTTACGATCACCTTAGCCCTAAGATCGCTTTGTACAACGGAACCCAGTTCTAAGAGACGGAATCTGGAATATGTCGGTAGAATAATGTAGTGGAATGTTAATATACTGTATTTCAAGGTGATACTTTGGCAAGGGTGGGTGTTGTGTGTATTGATATTGAGGTTTTTTTTCTAAATATCCGAGCTATTGAGGTAACAGTTGATTCTAATGATTCTGTCCAGTCATTGTCATTGAGATGACCAGGGTGGTGCATTTTGATGCTGTATCCCAGTTGCGTATATATATATCGATGCTTGCGATGGCAATCACTGGATTGTCTGGTCCACTATTATTAACAGAGCTCATACATATATAATATTGCTGAGTCCACTCCTTACCAACGAGTCAGCCACGAAATAAAACAAGAAGAATGAAAATGATGAATACGACGACGATGGTGATGTTGACGACGACGATGATGTTATTTTTGATGATGATGATGATGATGGGTTTAGGACAGTGGTAATTTGTTGTTTCAGGTACAGTGCAATGACCAAAGACGAGAAGCTTGGCGCCATTTCCAAATGGGAGAACGCATGGAACCACTTTATCCTGGAGATCCTGAAAAGCTTGGACACATTTTGGGTCGTCCAAAACTCTGTCTCTAACAAATCCCACCCCACCGTCCCCAAGTAACATCAGTGATAGTCCGTATTAGGATATTTGTTGGGGGTGAAATAGTCATCATCCCAAGGGGATCCAAACTCTTAACTACTACTTTACCAGCTGCTTCTCCGCATATACTGAGATAAACAAATCAAACGTTCCTTTTATTTATTTTTGTCCAGTTTTCATCTCCAGCTTTGAATAGCGCTGTGGTGATGAAAACTGGAAAATGATAAAGGAACTCCCGAATATTCCTGTGAACCTTTATTTGTTTCTCTCAGTATATATTGATCGAAACCTAACCTAAAGATTTCACATTTTGTGAGTAAGCATGTCTTAACCCCGCTTTAAGCACTACATGAGGAAGAAGCACACCGAGAATTGGGTTGTTTTCTATTCAGCAATATATTTAATTTCAATTTTTGCATGCCATATATTTTATACACAGGTTTACAGATTTTACTATCTGCTCGCAGCCTGCTTTTAACAGACTAATTATTTCTTCCATTTTTATGATAAGAATGTATTTATAATTGTAAATATGTATGTGCTCATGCTATGAATATTCTGATGCTGTGATCATGTGGGATGAGTGTTGAATATTGCAGGTTTGGGACCAGTGATATTATAGTTTGTATGGGACCATGCTTGGAGCAAGTATAGTGGAAATACTCCTTGAATACCGACATGAACCTCGATTTGAACTACATGCAGGGCATCCAAAGCCTACAACTTGTGCTATTGTTTAGGACGATGTAGCTATCACCAATACTGACCGAGTTGATACAAATACAGTCCGGATTACAAAGCATTTTTCTCATAGCAAGTTGATTGTTGGGACTATTATTTAAGTCCGTAATCCGTAAATGAGTGAGTGAGTGAGGTTAGTTTTACGCCGCACTCAACAATATTCCAGCTATATGGCGGCGGTCTGTAAATAATCGAGTCCGGACCAGACAATCCAGTGATTAACATCATGAGCATCGATCTGCACACTTGGGAACCGATGACATGTGTCAACCAAGTCAGCGAGTCTGACCACCCGATCCGTTAGTCACCCCTTACGACAAGCATGGGTTACTGAAGTTCAATATTCTAACCCGGACCTTCACGGGTCCCGTAATTGAGAGAGTCCGGATTATTAAGCATGCTTTAATGATAAATTAAGGACAATTTTGCCGGGACTTAGAGAGTAGTCCGGATTATGGAGAAAACCGGATTACACAGAACCCGGTTTTGACAGATTCCACTGTACTGCTAATGTATTACATTTACTGCTACGCCAGAGAATAGCTGGAATATTGCTGGGTTTGGTGTTAAACTCACCTTACTGCTGCTGGTAATATTACTATGAGTGTTAGCGGTGCTGCTGTACTACTGCTGCTACTACTACTACTACTACTACTACTACTACTACTACTACTACTACTACTACTACTACTACTGTTGAAATATGCCGAATGATGCTTTGTTATCATTCATCCCAACTCGCCATTAAAGCTACCTCGACTTGTCCATAAGCTTGCCACGACTCGTCATAGACAAAGGTCTTACAATTTTCTGGGCGGTGGATAGCCTAGTGGTTAAAGCGTTCGCTCGTCGCGCCGAAGACCCGGGTTCGATCCCCCACATGGGTACAATGTGTGAAGCCCATTTCTGGTGTCCCCCGCCGTGTCATTGCTGGAATATTGCTAAAAGCAGCGTAAAACTGAACTCACTCGCTCTTGCAATCGATGGTACTGTTAAAAAACAAAAACAAAAAACCTACCCAGATAAATGAACAGGTTCTTTTTGTCAAAAGAATTGCACATCACGGTATACAATTGACTTGAATATGAATATAAGATCAGGTGTGCTTAAGTATTCTTTTATGACGTGTGAGTGACATAAGAATGATCACATGACCATTAAGTAGAAACTTACACGTATTGAGCACTCTTTAACTGAAACGAGGCTCTGTACCCCCAAACGAGGCTTACATTGTCTTGCACTGACTCAGGGATCACCCGGACGTTCCACACATACGTGTCCTGATTGCACGTAGTAACCCTTTTGTTCAGAAAGGGAAGTCTACTGTGACGATGTATCATACATATTTGTAATTCCTAACCGGGGGAAGTTGTAACACTAGTCTCGTAGAAAGAGAATTCTGCTGTCACGTGTGTAGGTCACGTGCATCCTCACTATCTCCAGGGTCATTCGTGACCCACGTGTGTAGCGACCAGAACTGGGATACGACCAGAACTGGGATAAACAGTCCACAATTTTAAAATATCATTAGATATTGCAAGAAAGTCATATTTCAAGTTGAGCAGTAACCATTTCTGGGAATGAATGAATTATTATGAATAAAAAATGAATGAAAAACACCTGACACTTAAATTCAGCATCCACAACCAGGAACATTAATTGGTCGCTCACTTATTTTAAGCTAGTAGAGTAATTACAGTAAAGCGCATGAAAATGAATTCTATTTCGTTTCAGTTTCACGTTTCTACATTTTTTGCGCTGCTATATTTAGCTATTATGGCGGCATCGACTATGGAGCGCTGCCATTGGCATTTTTTGCAATCAGTAGTTAAAATAAAGGACACGAGTTGTGCAGCTGATTTTGATCTTAATAATTGTTTGTCGATTAAATACATAGTTGACAGTAAGACGTATAATTCTCCATATTAGTTATCCCAGTTCTGGTCGTATCCCAGTTCTGGTCGCAACACACGTGCACTCGTGTTTTTCCGGGACAAGCCGAATTGGAGGTCACGGAAAGGGCGAGTGGTGACGAATGCTCCAGGGCCAGCTGTTCTGTTTCCCGACACAAGGCGTGAGTGCATTTGTACCGAAAAGCGAGTCGGGGAGATAAAAAGGACGGGTCACGTTTTACTGTAGATGTGGGCCCACTTGCACAAAGCGAGCATATCGCTAAGACCATTCTTAGTCTGTGCTAGAGTATGGAAGTTACGATCATCGTAACGCTAAGATCGCTTTGTGCACATGGGCCCTGGAGTATCGAGTGATGGCTTTCCTCAGTCTCAATAATAAATTGGAGGACTGCACACGTGGAACACAACCGATACGTGCCTTATAAGTAGTTTATTCTTATTCTGTTTATCATGCATGTATTCTTGATGGTAGTTATCCCAATTCTGGACCTAGATTTTCGAAGCTCTCCTAGAGTTAAAATAGTCGTAAATGCCATACATTAACATTAACTTACGACTATCTTAGCTCTAAGAGAGCTTCGAAAATCTAGGCCCTGGTCGCTAGATACGCGATGTGTTTGTATTCAGAGTGTATGAACTGAATCCCTTGTACAGTAAAACCTCGTTAATGCGGATAAAGCTGTTTCCAATACATCGTCAGTTTAACAAATCTCCAGATAGACAAATCCATTTTAGGGAGTACTATTCTTTGTAAATATACAGACGCTCTTGATGGTACTCGCACTAACAGCCTCTGTCCGGATTAACGAGTTTCTTTGTAACCACTTGCCCTTTTCTTCTACTGAGCTGTGAATGAAGTATGAATGGGCAATATTTCTGAACATTTGTCAAACTGTGTGTTGCTTCTGTGATAAGTCGTACCATGTGTTAATCACAGGGGCTTGTAACGCTAAAATTTTCCATCAAGGTATATATTGCTACTGACGGGGTCTCAGCACTATCCTTTTTTATTACCTACGAGGGCGAAAATATCGGGGTTAATATTTTTCATACAATGCCATAGGGCAAACTTTCACTTTGTCATGGTGACGTGACGTCGTGAACAATGCTATGACGTCAGGTTTCTTCTATGACGTTGCGTTCTACATGCGGCGATGGCGGGTAGCTAGCCTATGTTTGAAAGTAGATTTGGGTCTATTTTCCTCAGTTTGACGACTTCGGTAATCAATAGAATATTATATTCATGCCCATATCATACCATGTTTACGACACTCTTGCCTATATATCAGTATATCCCTCGCTCTGGAAATACCAACATTTAGGCACTCGTGTCGTAAACATAGTATGACATGGGCACTCATATAATATCCTCTATATAGTACGTACTAAGACCCCGGGGGGCGGTGGGGTAGCCTAGTGGTTAAAGTGTTCGCTCGTCACGCCGAAGACCCGGGTTCGAATCCCCACATGGGTACATTGTGTGAAGCTCATTTCTGGTGTCCCCCGCCGTGATATTGCTGGAATATTGCTAAAAGCGGCGTCAAACCAAACTCACTCACTCACTCACTAAGACCCCGGCATGCAGTGCCAGTATGTACCTTGATGGCAAATTCTAGCGTTACAAGCCCCTGTGGTGTTAATGGACATTGACAATCCTGCATTCGTGCAGTAAGTTAGTCATACACGTTTCTTGCAGCCAACGGAAATATGTGATGTGCTCCGTCTCTGATTGGCTAAGGGATTCACCTGGTTATCAGGTGTGTGGTAGTGCTTAGGGACATGGATATAGTTTAGAAGATACAGATATTTGTTGTTGTTGTTATTAATGTTATTTGTTTTTAATATTATTGTTACTGACGCCCTGTCAGACTAACATCTAGTCTCTGAAAGACAATGTACATGATCCAGTATGCGTCCGTCAGGGAGATAACTCCCACCAACACTCGATGTACAAACTGAAGCGATCATAAAAGTTTGCGAATGTTGATATTAATAGCAACAGTTGCTTCTATTCAAACCTTCTGTAGTAATGTACACATTTGTAGCCATTAATATGTAGATATAAGCGATGTCACTCTCATTACGGTTGTTTGAAAATCAACACATAGCAGATCTCTGTATTTCAAGGAATAACGAAGAGGTCTACTTCTCTTTATTTCATTTTGTCTCTGACCATCTTGTGGTTTCTATAATCCGCTTGTCTTTCATGATTTCAACAGGATGTTAATGTGACTATGAAATAAATGAATTTATGTGAATACTTTTTGTCCTCTGTCTTTAATCATTGACTGGTCTGGAAACATACGTCACTACAAGTCATCAACTGGCCAGTACCTGAGTGAGTGAGTGAAGTTATGAAATTGCACTGCGAGATATGTCAAATTTGAAGATTGGAGGGAGGGAGGGAGTTCACGGAAAGTTCCGTACAGTATGCAAGATAACCGCAATCATTCAAAGACCCGACCAGAGATAACCTGTGGACGATACTTTCAGTGCCTGGAATCTACTGAACCTCCAATCACCTTGAACATTAGACAAGTGGATTAGTGCCAGTTTTATTATCCCAGCCAGAGCGGTGTATTCGACGTGTCGAAGGGCCTCGTTCCACAAAGCTATCTTAGCACTGCGAATGTCCTCCGTCGGTGATAACGGTTTATAGATGATGTTCCTAAAGTATTATAAAAAGGAGGCCAGAGACTTTCTTCATTTCCTGAAACTCTGGTAATATCAACTTGCAACATATTGTACACTTGCATGGGCAGCATTGGGTATAGTTGTCTGTATAACATACTAATAGCTGACGTATTTGATCTGTGCGATCAATTGATCGGGTGGCCCCAGACTGAGTGAGTGAGTATGGTTTTACGCCGTATTTAGCAATATTCCATGTGGGGAATCGAACCCGGGTCCTCGGCGAGACGAGCGAACGATTTAACCACTAGGCTTCCCCACCGCCCCGGCCCTTGACTGATGCATGTCACTTCAACCCAATAGCGTACATCGATGCTCATGCTCTTAACCTCTGGGGCATATACAGACTGGGGCTTACACAGACCGCCGCCATACAGCTGGAATATTGCTGAGTGCCGCGTCAAGCAACAAACACAACCGTCCAGTGTATGTGTGAAGTTTCTTCAACGCAGAACACAGCGATGCGTCCGTAAAATGAATAATCTCGGCCCAGCTTGATGAAACTTAGGATACACCATGCCATGTAGAAAGTGAGTGAGTGATTTCGGTTTTACGCCTCTTTTAGCAATATTCCAGCAATATCACGGCGGGGGACACCAGAAATGGGCTTCACACATTGTACCCGTGTGGGGAATCGAACCGGGTCTTCGGCGTGACGACAAACCACAATGATTAAATAATGAACAAACGTTGATGTATAACAACTTCTTTTATTTCGTGAGTGCGACGTTTCGATACGGATCGCAAATTCTGTATCGGATGGTCGCACTCACGAAAGAAAAGAAGTTGTTATCCATACAGTTTGTTCAATATTGTACATCCCAACTTCTGAAATGTCACTCAAAAAATTCACAACAATAAACCCCTCAAATATCTGATATTTTATCTCCGGCTATTATATGCCATTTTTGTTATGTACAGTTTTCCCAGAAATTGTTGAGAAAATCTTTGTTTCCTAATACTGATAATATAATTTTAAAGTAGGTGTTATATTTTGTAATATAAGGTACTCGCTATGGAAGGCAACTCTTACTACATCAAGAGTTATCTCCCCTGGTGTAGCAGACGGCTTACTTTATTGACATGGCAGACTTGACAGCAGAAGAGAAAAGAAAGCTGGTTCTTGATGATTTTGAAAGGGGTATGACCAATGCAAAAGAGTTAGCTGGTAGACATGACATTCCTCTGTCTACAGTATGCAAAACTTTGCAGCATATTTGTCAGGAGTTGGGATTGAGCACACGACAGGGGCAGGCAGGCCAAGGAAGTTCACTCACTATACGGATCGCCGGCGACTTGGTCAGATTGTGGGTAGGATTAAATTGAAAAGCGTTGATTAATAGAGGAAGTCCTCAGGTATGTAATGAAACCCTTAGACAAGAATTACAAAGACTTAACTGGGTGAAAGAGCGCGGAATTCCCTCACCATGGATGAAAGATGCACAAAAAAACCCGTTTAAACTGGTGTACGTAGGGCCCACGAAAATCAAGATTGGGATAATTTTTTCTTTTCTGATTGAAAGTTCTGTGTGAAAATTTGGACAAAAGATACCGTGAAACTTATCTACCAAAGCCTAAAACATAGCCCGAAATTTCACATGTGGGGTGGAATATCATCACGTGGAGTGACGACATTGTGTATTTTTTACTGGAAATTTGACGAAGGAACGATAGGTTGACATCTTAAATGGTCACCTCCTTCCAACCGCCCGAACACTGTATGAAGATAATTGGATTTTCCAGCATGATAACGGCTCAAAACACACAACTGGCTCCACAAAACAGTTGTTGTTGGACGAAAATGTTCGATTTAGACTGGCCCAGCTACAGCCCAGATCTTAACCCTATTGAGGATGTGTGGGGACTAATAAAGGACAGATTAAGCCAAAAAGGACTTAGAAATATTGAGGATATGAAGAAAGAAGTGGCCGAATATTGGGATACGCTGTCACACGATTTCCTGCGGACTTTTGATCGGTTGTGTACCTAGGCGCATTCAGTCGTGTATTGCATGGCAAGGGGGTCTCACAAAGAAATGAAAAGACACTTAGACTGTAAGAGAATCACATCTCAACATATTCAGTTAAGTAAAACTTCTATAGTTTATATACATGTATTAGATATTTGCCGAAACAACTTTCTCAATAATTTCTGGGAATACTATATATGTTACAGTAAATCTGTATAATCAGTATATATGTATTTCCATCAGGGATTATGTATATTTACTACACTGATTCATTATACATATTTACTGAAATCAAGATCTGATACAGGGACAGTTCTGATGTGAAAGACATGCTCATTGCCTGGCTAGCTGACAACAACACCGTCGATTGGACCAGGGGGCTGAATTTTGAGCAATTCAAGAAGAATTCCAGTCACCATATAAACGTATTTATAATGTGATATAGGCCCAAGGTACAAGGCCACGGTCTTGGTTAAAGACCGAGGGTGGAGGTCCATCTAGTCTGACCATCCACCACTGGTTTTAGAATACATTATCTTGTCGATGGAAGATTTGTGTAATCGTGTAATATTCCAGGTGATCTACCCACTTATAGACCAAATATGTGTAATCTTATCTGTGTGTGACAGGCACGTCGTCAGAGCAAACCCTGGATACAGAGGTACCAGTCGCTTCGAAAATGACGCATTCATGTGCAAAATGGTGTTTTCCTTTATTGATATTAAACGTTTTATTTATTCACATTGCATGTATATCAAAATCGGAATACACTGTTGAAAAACATCGCATTATGAATCTGGAGGAATCAGCGAGGTTCGGATCGTCACTTGTCTTGAACAAACAAGAGAGACTGATTAGTGATATATTAACCACAGCCAAACGTGCGGAGATTGAAGAGTCTCGGGTCAACGGTACCGTATTCCCCCCAGCCATTAACTTCTTCGAATCCAGGAAACTTATAGACTCGAGCAAAGTCTTCCAGATTATCAAGCGTATGCCTAAGGGTAGGTATTCCTAACAGGTGCGTGGTCTTTCTTTGCAGGTGCACGTTCACACGTGCCAGGTGTGTGTCTACACGTACTTGCCCCTTTTCTTTGTCTTTTTATGCGTCCCTGCATGTTCAATGTACGTGCCTATATGTACATGTGTATATGTTACAGTGAATATGTAAAACCAGGGAATATGTATAATCCCTGAAATTTTCAATGAGTAAGTATAATGTCTGATTCACTCTGTGAGTATATTAGTGGTGGTCCAATTGATTGAACGAACGTAATGACTAAACGACCAAGCAATCGATCACATTTTGTCATAATCGAACACAAACAATTTTGGAACACTTGTTTGCATTGACAATATTTATCACAAGGTTGGTTTTGTTTGTTGCGTTTCATAAGCACTACAAGCTCGTTCCAAGTCATGATTAAAATTTATCTTGAAGACTCCAGGAAATTTATGTTCCTAACATATTAGTCATCCTTTAAAGACATCATAATTTGCCCAAACAACCGAAAGAACTACATGTTTTGTTCTTTATTTTGTGTACATTAACAAACATAACCAGGACAATTTGATAAATAACGCTAACCAACTATTTTCGATGATTGATCGGTTGTAATGAACCAATCATCAATTATCAGATTTTAACCAATTCCCAACACTAGAGTATATACAATCACTGAAATTGTCAGGGATTATACATAGTCACTGAAAAATAGACTAGAATTTAAGACATATTCCCTGAGATCAATTCTTGTGTACTTTGAGGGATATTTCTTCCAAAAAGATGTGAAATCAGACTTTTGTATTAAGCAGGATAGAGACGTTTCTTTGCTACAATGATATCTATATTCAACATAATATCTTTATACATGTTTGATGTACATAAGGCTGGCTGGGTATGGTTTTACGCCGCTTTTTGCAATATTCCAGCAATATCACGACAGGGGGACACCAGAAATGGGCTTCACAAGTTGTACCCATGTGGGGAATCGAACGCAGGCCTTCGGCGTGACGAGCGAACGCTTTAACCACTAGGCTACCCCACCGCCCCTATGTACATAAGGAAATGTATGATGGACATGTTTGGAGAACATCAATTCAGTTTTTATTTTAACAAGACGGAGATGAGTGGCACCTTGAATTACACTTTACACCAGCCTTGTAGCATTTGCATCTATTTGTCTGGCACCTCTTGACACCAGCACAATTGCACTTAATGACATATTCACTGTAACATACATATTTTTGAATTACTGCATACTTCCAGGTAACTAATACGTGAAAATGAAATAAACATAGTTGTTGTGGGAGATCGAAGAGTTTATTCTTTTCACGACTGAGTTATACACATACAATAAATGTGTGAGTCAGTGCTGGATACCGTCGCTCGCAGCTGCACCACAACATTCTGTAATTAATGAAGTCGATACAGTGATTGAAAGCACGAACAATGATCAATGTCGTACGTCGCGGGGGCGGACACAGCTTTTTGAGAAAGAAGGGGTGCACACAGTTGAGAAAATTGGGGGTGGTGTGGTGTGTGTGTGTGTGGGTGGGTGGGGTGGGGTGGGGTGGGGTGTGATGGTGCACACTTCATTTTCACCCGAGTTTCAATGGTCATTTAATAAACTTACAAGACAAAGGGGTGGGTGGTGGGTGGGCAGCACCCCGTGCAGACTCGCCAGAAATACTCACTTGTTTACGCCGCACATTGTACCCTTATAGGAATTGTACCCACATAGGGAATGGGACTCGGGCGAACGCATTACCCACTGGGTTACTCCGGCACAAGCACGTGGTCAGTTGTAACTTGTGACCCTTCGATCTTCATTATAGTGGACCTCTGCTTCAGTTGTTGCATGATGGGTATTTTTCCTCCTCCAGGTGGCGCTCTTCACACCCATGGGTCAGCCATTACAAGTCTGGATTGGCTGGTGAAGAACGTGACGTACAGGTCCAACTGCTACATGTGCTACGACAACTACGGGCACCTGCAGATGCACTTCTACGATATTCCGCCGAAAAACTCATGTGAGACATACTTTTTATATTCTACGTCGAGGTCGCTTCCTGGGTGATGGGATGTGGGGTTTAGTGTGGCGTTTAAGATTATTGCCCTGTAGTGACGTGCAGACTCTTGTGCGTGCGTGTGTGCGTGTGTGTATTTTTTGTGCTAATCCGGACTAATGTCACCCGTGAAGATTCGGGTTAGAAATGGACAACCCATGCTTGTCGTAAGAGGCGATAAACGGGATCGGGTGGTCAGGCTCGCTGACTTGGTTGAAACATGTCATCGTATCCCAACTACGTAGATCGATGCTCATGCTGTTGATCACTGGATTGTTTGGTCCAGACTCGACTATTTACAGACCTCCGCCATATTGATGGAATATTGCTGAGTGCGTCGTTAAACACTGTACAGTCAAAACATAAATGGTTTCTATAGTTTTTATATAGTACTAGCCCACTGAGACACTGTGTCGTCCTTTCTGTTGTCAGAATCATTACCTCTGACGTCTATGTGGTTGTCAGAATTATTGCCTCTGACGTCAATGTCGTCAGAACATTTAAATCTGATGTTGATGACGTTGTCAGAATCATTCCCTCTGACGTCAATGTGGTTGTCAGAATTATTGCCTCTGACGTCAGTTTTGTCAGAACTTTTAAATCTGATGTTGTTGACGTTGTCAGAATCATTACCTCTGACGTCAATGTGGTTGTTGTCTGACGTCAAGAATCAGAATTACCTCTGACGTCAGTATTATTGCCTGGTTGTCGTCAGAATCTGATGTTGATGACGTTGTCAGAATCATTCCCTCTGACGTCAATGTGGTTGTCAGAATTATTCCCTCAGTGACGTCAGAAGTTTAAAATTGATGTTGTTGACGAATCAGAATCATTACCTCTGACGTCTGACGTCAATTGCCTCTGACGTCAGAATCATTACCTCTGACGTCAATGTGGTTGTCAGATACCGTGGTTCATTACCTCTGACGTCAATGTGGTTGTCAGAATCATTCCCTCTGACGTCAATGTGGTTGTCAGAATCATTCCCTCTGGAGTCAATGTGGTTGTCAGAATCATTCCCTCTGACGTCAATGTGGTTGTCAGAATCACTAAAGTACTGTCGGAAATAGAAATAAAACCAGCTTTATTTTCGCATTGATATCTACAATTTATGTTTTTATTATGTGTTAGTGTGAAATATCTGTTAATGTAAGTTCGGCCTAACTACAGTGTCAGTGGTAGGGAGATAGGAAATGTAGACAAAGGACTTTACTGAGGAGAGATTAGTGCAGAAATGAGACATGCGTTTTTTTCTGTCCAAAGCGACTTATTTGGAACAGACCATGGTTTTATGCAAATTAGTGTGCGATGATATTATATTACAAAGGACAATTTTTAAATGTCCATTTTGAAATTAAACTTAGCTTCATTATAAACGATAGCTAGCGTGAAAAATAATAACTGTAATACTGAAACTATGAAGCTACCATTTAGTCTCACTATCACTATAAGAAGAAACAGGCAGGAAGGGTCAACACAAAGCAAAACGAGGACGGGTGTCGCAGACGCTGGTTAGGGTCGGGCTGGAGGATAGAGATATAAGCTGAGATAAGATAATCCTTTAGGGGATTTAAACTGGGAAGCAAACGGCATGTCATAACAATTTACAAATAATATCCGGGTAACAGAGTAACAGCTAGTCTGTCGTACAGACCCTGAAGCAAATATATCCAAGAAAGCCTTTTACGCAAGTCTAGAAAATGTGGCAAAGTCTAGATTTTCAGCTTCAGAAAAAATGAGGAAAGTCTCAGGATATACTTTCATTATATTTTATATTTTTTACTATGAACTTTTTCAGTAAAATATGTTCATTTCAGAGACTAGTTGTTAGTCTAAGTAACAGCCTAAAACAGTTTTTTTTTCTATTTCCGACAGTACTTTTACCCCTGGCGTCAGTGTCGTAGTCAGGATCATAACTTTTGATGTCATTGAAATATATGCATTTGATCTGAAAGGAATCTCCAAAGAAACGGTAGATTCTATGGGTGAAACGGTACGCTCTTACCACGGTACGGTACGTATAGCGGTACAAGGCCTTCGGTTCGGTCCGTTTGAGAGATGATCATAATATAGAAAGTTGACAACAAGAGCCAAACCTTACATTGTATAACATGGAAAAACCCATAATCTTTGTTATTTTGGATGAACAAAACTGTCATTTCAAAAGGTTAATAAAACGTACATAAAACCGAAAATACCGAAGTTTTGGTTTACATTACGGTATACCGAACCGAAGGGTAAATACCACGGTTCTACTAATACCGCGGTATACCGTTTCATCCCTAGTAGATTCCTTGAATCCGTGGGAAATCTTGACTTGCTTCCTTTAGAACCTTTGCCTTATACCCCCATTTCTCTGGGCTGCGGCACGGAAGGACCTTCGCGGACGTGCGCGGAATGGAATCTACGGACGAGCTTCGGTCTTTTTGCGCGGAAAATTGGAGAAAATGCCACGGAAAAATGTAAATTGATACTCCTTTGGAACATTTACGGATTCTTCGGAACACAAACGGCAAAACGACTGCAAAACCTAGGCAAAGCGGCAGAAAATTCCACGGAGAAACTACGGAACACCTAGGAACGAGTAGATTCGGATAATTTGCAGAACACACTCGGAAACCGCGGAACATGCGAGGAATAGCTGCGTTAGGTTACGGTACTAATCCAGATGGCGGGGAAGAACTTCGGAAACACTGCGGAAACACGCGGAATATTTGCATTCAGGACGGAATAAGCACGTATACACCGCGGATGACCCTCGTAAATCGAATCGAACGCGTCATTTCTGCGGAAATTTCGGTAGAGATCAAAGGAATTTCGCCTGAGTCCGCCTATAAAAACGCTGTTTCGACCACGGAAGCTCATTCCACTACTGGAAACATGGAAAACTACTGGAAACATGGAAAACTTGGAACTCCTCCACACGGAAAAGCCTACTGAAAAGTTGTATAACTTGGAGCTGCTTCTACATGAGTACAATGAACTGCAACAAGGTATTGCCATCCACAACAGAAGACGAGTAAGACGAAGGGCATACACTCCCAAACGGTTCTGGAAGCGTCCATGGTTGAGTGGAGCGAAGACATGGTCTTGGTAACTATGACAAACTGATGGAGGAGCTCCGTTTCGAAGACAAACGGTACGTCTTCAACTCCCTCCGGGTGCCACCTAACCTGACGAGTTGCTGATGGTCTTGGCTCCTCGACTAACAAAGAAGGACACAAATTAAGGGCCGCACTCTTGCTGAAACTTGTTGTCACCATGCGTCATCTGGCTTCTGGTGACAAATATCAAACTCTGGCATATAACTTCAGGGCCCCGTTCCTCGAAGCGATCGTAGCGCTACGACAGTAAGTCTATGTTAAAATATGGGAGTTACGATCCTCCTCGCTTTGAGGAATGGGGCCCAGGGTATCTCGTCACACCATTGCAAGCTTCCTACTCGAGGTATGTCAGGCTATCATCGATCACTACAAAGACGAAGTAATACAGTGTCCACATACTGATCAGGAATGGAGATCACTCAGGTTCCTGTGGATAGACGTTGGTGGAATGGAGCACATGTCCGGTGCTCAGATCTTCAACGCCTCACAGCTTAAAGAATGCATCGAAGATATATGACGACGTCGACACGCCATATTTCCACTGGGGGACGACGCGGTTGGCCTCAGAAAGTATCTCATGAAACCATACTCCAGACGGGGGCTCACAGACGATGAATTGTTTTTTAAGTATAGGATATCCAGAGCACGCAGAGTTGTTGAGAATGCCTTGGGCACCTTGGCCAATTGGCAATTCCTTCTAACTGCACTGCATCAGGGACCCAGATGTCGTCAGAAGTATGGTTGAAGCTGTCGTCTGTCTTCACAACATACTGCGCACGAGGTACACCTGCATTCAGAGCGCAGTGCCCGTAGAGAAGACGAAGACCACAACATCATCCCTAGGCAGTGGCGTGAGACAGCCAACATGCATGATTTGTCAAATGTGGTGGTCCCAACAGAGACACTATAGAGGCCGGGAAACAGTGGGAGTACCTCAAGCTCTACTTCAACAGTGAAGTTGGAAGAGACGCTTGGCAACCCTACATCATCAGACAGAAACAAGTGTGAAGTTGCCCTTAGATCTTCAGATGACGTCACTAACTGTGTTGCCCTCAGATCTTCAGCTGACGTCACTAACTGTGTTGCCCTTAGATCTTCAGCTGACGTCACTAACTGTGTTGCCCTTAGATCTTCAGCTGACGTCACTAACTGTGTTGCCCTTAGATCTTCAGCTGACGTCACTAACTGTGTTGCCCTTAGATCTTCAGCTGACGTCACTAACTGTGTGTTGTGTAATGTGAACGTGAACAGTGACAGGTGGCTTGACCCTACTTCCATTGTGCTAACAAGTGACATGTACTCCGGGAGTAACAGGGAGATACAGCTGGACTGTAGACTTATTTTGCAAATCAGTGACATTACTGAAAGCATGATCTCTGTATTTCTCTCATTCCGACTTCATTCCATGGCTTCTTCTTTATTTTCTATTCTTGTTTTAAATATTGTAACAGCCATATAGAACATTTTTTAAAGGATAACAACATTTTTATTTCGTGAGTGCGACGTTTGCTTGACAACGGTACATGAACCTGTATCGAAACGTTGCGCCCACGAAATAAAAATGTTGTTATCCTTAAAAAAATGTTCTATATGGCTGTTACAATATTTAAAACAAGAATACAAAATAAAGAAGAAGCCCACAGAAGTTGTTATCCATAAAAAAATGTTCTATATTGTACGTCTCAACTCCTAAAATGCCACTCAAACAAATTGTAACAACATTTTAGTTATTAATGCGTTGACTTTTTCTGTCATTAAATTATGTTGAATGTTTACTGTTTTCATTCCAAGTTTCAAGCATGACATGCATTTTCATTGGGGTTGCTATATGTAACCCCGATGGGGATGAATTCATGCCTATTAAAAGTTGTCGTATGTTGCAGCCTCACCAGTATATACTATCGGGCAAGAGAAAGTGAACACTACAAAACCTAGTGTCGTAATAGCTAAACTCAGTGATTGCACCCTGCACAATGCAGTTAATATTGGCACTAAGTTTTGTGGTGTTCACATTCTTTGCCCGGCAGTATAGATACCAAGGAAACCACTACAAAATGAGAAGTATCCACATCGTCTATAAGGAACTTGTCTTGAAATTGCAATCGAAATCTTCAAAGTAATCCTCATTTGCAAGTGTCAAGGATGACATGCATTTTCAAAGGGGTTGCAAGATGTAACCCCTGTGGAGATGCATACACGTATTACCAATTGTGATGGCCTCTTTAGCTCTCTGGGAAGAATAGCTCCACAGTACCTCATGGTTGTCCTTTGGTAAAGCTCCTGATTGCATTTATAGGGCTGAAATAGTGCAACTCTAGCACTCTGGGAAGAATAAAGCTAAGTACCTCATGCTTGGGGTAAAAGTGCCCTAAGTATCCATGGCGTCGACGTGCATGTAGAATCAACAAATACTGCATAGATTAAGACATTTTAATTCATGAAAGTAAAGCGGACAATGACAATAATAACACTATTTACACTACTAACACATCACAGTTTTAAGGCCCACCACAGTTCATTTAACTGTCACAGTTTTTAAAGGTCCATGACATGCGGAAAGGGAAGGGAGCGTTGCGGAAGGCCTGCGAAATACTTGCGTTACTTGCGTTTTAAACATAAGGAATGACTAATTTCCGCAATCGAGCTTTTGAACATGTTAAGCCCATTTGCGGAATATTTTTGACTGGCGGAAGAGTAAGGAAGATGAGGAACACGTACGCATTAACCGTGTCGTATTGCCGCGGATGAAAGGGGAAGATTTTCGAAAAAATGGTGGAATACAGCATTTTTGCATCCGCGGCAATAGAATGGGTTGGACGGAAGGGAAAAAGATGTTTCAGAAACCGCGAGACAGACTAAATTACTGACATCTTTACTCGTTCATAATGTCATTATTTCATCTGTCGCGAGTTTTTTAGATTTTTTATTATTTTCATGACACCAAAGTCTTAATCTGTCGTATTGATGAACAATCCTAGTTCGAATCACCGATCTTGCACAATGGTGTCGGAGAGGGCACATCGCATTGTTTTAGTAAACAGCTACCCGATACATCGACATAGACTAACGCTTGTTTCTGAATATATAATTTTTAATGTAACAAATAAACCCATTTAAATTAAAAAGGAGCCCCAAAGAGACCCTAGACTTGCTTCATTCAGGGCTTTAGCATTGCAGGGAGGGCAAGGCAGTAGGGAAAAATAATGTGGTTCAGGGACTGTGAGACAGACTAACATTGACAGAATAATGTAAGTTAAACATATTTTTCAAAGAATTTTGCACCTGTTGTTTGGACGAACTATATTCAACTCGTGTGCTTGTTGATGACCTAAATATTTTCCATCATGCAGATTGCCAATGGGAAAGTGTGCAGCACATGCGGGAACGGTCAGGGGACGCTCAGCTGTTTGACCAGCAGTGAGTAGCTTGCAGTGACACGGGTGACGTTCCCCACGGCCCTTTGCAACAGCATTTAGGAATTCATATTCAAAATTATTCAAATATATATTTTAAAGGAAGAGGTATGATAAACGTTGGTAAGAGTTCCTCCCCTTCCCCCATCCAAAATAATGAATTGGGTTAATTACATGTATACTAAAATTATTGAGACCTATTTCAGCAATTACTAGAGAACTCAAAATAGGTGAGGTGAGGTGAAATATAACGTGCTTGAGATATTTGCATGCGTGTGTATGTGTATGTGCGGCTGCTTGTACTAGCCCAGACTTAAGCTGGTTTTATAGTGCTAGCCCACTGTGATACCATGCCGCAGTGAAGCATGAATACCCCACTCAGACACATTATACTGACTCCGAGCCGACCAGTCCTTGTTGTACCCATTAATGCCGAGCGCCAGGCAGGGAACCAACTAGTACCATATTTTAACGTTTTTGGTATGACGCGGTCGGGGATCGAACCCGCGACCTTCCGCTCTCCGGGCGGACGCTCTAACCACTACACCACGGAGGCGGTTCACAAAAATAACTAAAAGCCCAAAAATTAATTACAATATATTGGGTTGAACCACGTTGCCTTACCTCTGTTAATCTGCGGAAGAAGGAAGTGGGCAATAAGGGGGAACGGAAGGAAGTCTTTCCTAAAAGTCAGCTGGGCCAACCAGTTCTGCAAATATTAGTGCAACAAAGCAAACAGTTATGAAAGTCTTATGAAAACATTCCTTTTGCAATCTCTGAATTCACAATGACATTTAGAAAGTGGTCAGATGTACCATGTTAATTTGGAACTACACTTTCTCAATGAAGTACATATTTTAGTTCATTTTTCTTAGGTTGAGTCCCACCCGGGATTCGAACCCACACCCGCATTTACGGAGCGTTGCCATCTCTGCATTTAAGATGTGACGTCACGTTTCACTTTTTATAGCGGCCAATTTGGTTTCTGAATTCTTAGTCGCTATATGGCTGAAATAATTTTAATTCATTCTGCATTCTCTGTTCCACTGGATGAAGCGGCCAGGTCTGTATATATCATATCTGGCACGCACGCACGCACGCACGCACGCACACAAACCAAAACCCAAACCAAACAAACAAAGCAAAACAACAACAACAACAACAACAACAACAACACACATTCATACATACATATAGATGTTTGTCATTTCATCTGCACCCATTACAGGTTGCCGTCTATTGTGTTCCGTGTACGAGGAGGTTTCTGATCTGAGGAATTGTTTCTTTTACAAAACGAAATTGCCGAATGAAGGTTGTGACGAAATGAGAGCAACACAACCCTTACTTTAGAATTGGAAATGTCAAATTTTTGTCATACATTTTCATGCAGAGGTAATGTGTCAGAATATACGGTCAGCGATACTTAAAAAGTGAGTTTAATATACCCTTTTCAGACTCATAAGAAACATCAGCATCATCGTTGACGACCCAGATTCCACCTATGTCACCGTGGACGATGTTTGGCACAAGTTTAGTCTGTATTTTAAGGTTGTCAATGGATTATATCGCTATACACCGGTATTCAAGGATTACTTACAACAAGCACTGAGGGAGTTTGAGGAGGATAATGTCCAGTACGTGGAGATCAGAGTTACACTATCCCCGGTGAGTCTGTATTGATGTCGCTATAAGACGTAGCTCGGTACACAGAGATCAGAGCTACACTGTCCCCGGTGATGTCTGTATGATATCGCTATAAGACGTAGCTCTGTACACAGAGATCAGAGCTACACTATCCCCGGTGAGTCTGTATTGATGTCGCTATAAGACGTAGCTCTGTACATAGAGATCAGAGCTACACTATCCCCGGTGAGTCTGTATTGATGTCGCTATAAGACGTAGCTCGGTACACAGAGATCAGAGCTACACTATCCCCGGTGAGTCTGTATTGATGTCGCTATAAGACGTAGCTCGGTACACAGAGATCAGAGCTACACTATCCCCGGTGAGTCTGTATTGATATCGCTATAAGACGTAGCTCGGTACACAGAGATCAGAGCTACACTATCCCCGGTGAGTCTGTATTGATGTCGCTATAAGACGTAGCTCGGTACACAGAGATCAGAGCTACACTATCCCCGGTGAGTCTGTATGGGTATCGCTATAAGACGTAGCTCGGTACACAGAGATCAGAGCTACACTATCCCCGGTGAGTCTGTATTGATGTCGCTAGAAGACGTAGCTCGGTACACAGAGAGATCAGAGCTACACTGTCCCCGGTGAGTCTGTATTGATATCGCTATAAGACGTAGCTCGGTACACAGAGATCAGAGCTACACTGTCCCCGGTGAGTCTGTATTGATATCGCTATAAGACGTAGCTCGGTACACAGAGATCAGAGCTACACTGTCCCCGGTGAGTCTGTATTGATATCGCTATAAGACGTAGCTCGGTACACAGAGATCAGAGCTACACTGTCCCCGGTGAGTCTGTATTGATATCGCTATAAGACGTAGCTCGGTACACAGAGATCAGAGCTACACTGTCCCCGGTGAGTCTGTATTGATGTCGCTGTAAGATGTAGCTCGGTACACAGAGATCAGAGCTACACTGTCCCCGGTGAGTCTGTATTGTATCGCTATGACGTAGCTCTGGTACACAGAGATGTACACTGTCCCCGGTGAGTCTGATCGCTATAAGACGTAGCTCGGTACACAGAGATCAGAGCTACACTGTCGGTGAGTCTGTATTGATGTCGCTATAAGACGTATACACAGAGATCAGGCTACACTGTCCCCGGTGAGTCTGTATTGATGTCGCTGTAAGACGTAGCTCGGTACACAGAGATCAGACACTGTCCCCGGTGAGATGTATTGAGCTATAAGACAGCTCTCCGGTGTCCTATCCCCGGTGAGAGTCTGTATTGATGTCGCTGTAAGATGTAGCTCGGTACACAGAGATCAGAGCTACACTGTCCCCGGTGAGTCTGTATTGATGTCGCTAGAAGACGTAGCTCGGTACACAGAGATCAGAGCTACACTGTCCCCGGTGAGTCTGTATTGATGTCGCTATAAGACGTAGCTCGGTACACAGAGATCAGAGCTACACTGTCCCCGGTGAGTCTGTATTGATGTCGCTATAAGACGTAGCTCGGTACACAGAGATCAGAGCTACACTGTCCCCGGTGAGTCTGTATTGATGTCGCTAGAAGACGTAGCTCTGTACACAGAGATCAGAGCTACACTGTCCCCGGTGAGTCTGTATTGATGTCGCTATAAGACGTAGCTCGGTACACAGAGATCAGAGCTACACTGTCCCCGGTGAGTCTGTATTGATGTCGCTATAAGACGTAGCTCGGTACACAGAGATCAGAGCTACACTGTCCCCGGTGAGTCTGTATTGATGTCGCTATAAGACGTAGCTCGGTACACAGAGATCAGAGCTACACTGTCCCCGGTGAGTCTGTATTGATGTCGCTATAAGACGTAGCTCGCTACACAGAGATCAGAGCTACACTGTCCGCGGTGAGTCTGTATTGATATCGCTATAAGACGTGGCTCGGTATACAGAGATTAGAGCTACACTATCCCCGGTGAGTCTGTATTGATGTCGCTATAAGACCTAGCTCGCTACACAGAGATCAGTAGCTCGCTACACAGAGATCAGAGCCACACTGTCCGCGGTGAGTCTGTATTGATATCGCTATAAGACGTAGATCAGAGCTACATGGGTATCGCTGGAGGGAGTGTCAAGGAGGGCTAGTGCAGTATTTGCGTCTCGCAGGCATGCCAGAAATTTATGGTCTCTGGTTCGAATCTTAGATTCGCCCTGTTATTGTTTCTGAATTTTGTCACATCAACCCAATTCTCGTGGGAATCCCACACCATGTCGGCGCGCTGTTATATAACAATATTATTATATACAATAGGGTGAAACGTTAGGTTAAGGGGAATACCAATATCATTTTAAATTGCAGCTGTGGGACTAGAACAAGTATGATAATCTCCCGGGTTGTACACATTTATGGGTGGGAAACATTTAATAACTACTGACCTATGGGCCCAACACTATCAAGATCACTTGGGGGAAATAGAGATTCTGTTTATCAGTGATAAGGGTATGTTGGGTATATTGTTACACAGCCGCAGTAATCCCTGTTTCTTATTGGGCCTGTAAGTCTCGCGAGGGCTACTTCCGGTACTAAGCTGGTTCCCGACTCCCTTTGCGCTCGCCAACTTGCGACATGCGAGACGGGGCCCAGGTTACTTCCGGTAACAGATTTCCGGTGATTAGCGCATATTCAAGAACCAGTTCTGGTTCCAAATTGCGCGACCGCCAAATATGACTTTACTAGACCGGAACATGTGTACAACCATGCTTCGCTGTCACAGCATTAACAATCGTAATAGTTGGCTAATTTTGGGGGTGGTTAGATCGGAAATGTGTTATTCCTGCAACGAGTATCGGTTCCTTACTGTCAAATGACAATCATGAGGCCATTCGAAAGGGAATGAAACGTTGTTTGTCACCGGAAGTACTAAACAACGCAAGGTCTCGCGAAGTGCCGTGACCTACTTACGGGCCCTATTGATGATGTTATTTCCTAAAGCAGTACGAGGCCTTTCAAAGTGAACTCCAGATTATGTAGGCCTTCATGTTGAACCACCTACCTCTATAACCAACACGTTCATGTGTCCAGCTGTATGAACTGGATGGGACCAAGCACGACCAGGAGCACAAGCTGGTGACGTATCGAGACACCGTCAATGACTACATGGCATCACATCCAGACTTCATTGGATGCAAGCTGATACAGAGCGGGATAAGGTAACACACTGACTTATACAAGTGAGATTCCGAGATTTTGACTGACTGACTGAGTTTGGTTTTACGCCGCTTTTAGCAATATTCCAGCAACATCACGGCGGGGAACACCAGAAATGGGCTTCTCACATTGTGCCCTTGTGGGGATTCGAACCCGGGTCTTCGGCGTGACGAGCCAACGCTTTAACCACTAGGCTACCCAAACGCCCCCCGAAATTTTGAACCGTGCAGAGCAAGTGTGTACCTTTGACTAATGATCTGTGAAGATCCAGGTTAGAATTATTCTTCAGTAACCCATGCTTGTCTTAAGAAGCGACTAACGGGATCGGGTGGTCAGGCTCGATGACACGGTTGACACATGTCATCGCATCCCAATTGCGTAGATCGATGCTCACGATGTTGATTACTGCATTGTCTGGCCCAGATTGGATTATTTAAGGACCACCGCCCTATAGCCTGAATATTGCTCAGTGCACCGTTAAATAAACGCACAAACAAAACCTTTGACTCATGCCAGTGCCATAGACAGCGCATGAATTCAAGCGGAAGTGTTACACGTTCAATATATCCAGGAGTTAGGACTCCGAAAGCTGAATATAGGTGGCTGCAGGAAGAACGCGGGCCAAAATAGAAATCGTGTGAAGAAGTTGTGGACCATCCCCCGTAAGGTGGCAAAGTGATAGCGCGACTTCAGTCGGGCATGATGAACATGAAAGTAGTTCTATTATTAAAAGAGATATGCCTCCTCGTCCCCTGAAAAATATCTGAGAAAGGTATCCATGATTATTTTGTGTTTGAAGTATTTTGTCCCCATCGTGGCTCCAACACGTCACTTCAGCACAGTAATGTTTTTTTTCAGATTTTTCAAGAGAGTGGACATTCTGGATGATATAAAGAGTTACATTAAATATCAACAGAATTACTCGGACATTCTCCGTGGCTTCGATCTGATTGGTCAGGAAGGTCCGGGAATCCACTGAGCTACTATCTGGATGATCTCCTGTATCCCTCCACACTGAACCCGCCGGTCTCTGTGCCATATTTCTTCCACGCCGGGGAAACAGGCATGTGCCGCCATTTTGTAATTCTCAGTAGTTCAAATACGCCATTGACGTCGGTGTTTTTGTTGGCGCAATCCATACATGTTAGACACATTTCACTTATGAATGACACAGTGAACTCTTACCTGACATAATCAAGTCATGTTTAGATCAACCAAATTAAATTTGAAATAAAGTATCACCTGTTTGATACAATCCAATCACAATCACAATCTACCCGAGCTTGATGCATTTAATTCTGCCCGAGACAATCCACACGTTTGATACAATCCGTTCATTCTTGACACAATCCACTCCTACATTACACAATCTATTCCTGTCTGGCACAATCTATTTCTTCCTGACAAAATCTTCTCGTCCACAAGTGCATGGCATGGTCCACTCCTGTCTGACATAATCCACTCCTGTCTGACACAATCCACTACACTACTGTCTGACACAATCCACTACACTACTGTCTGATACAGTCTACTCCTGTCTGACACAATCCACTACACTACTGTCTGATACAGTCTACTCCTGTCTGACACAATCCACCAAAACCAAAACCAAGACCAAAACCCACTCCTCCAAACACAATCCTCTCCTGCATAACACAATCCGATCCTATCTGACTCAATCCAGCCCTTTCTAACACTACCCTGCCTGACTAAACCTACTGGCATTAGATATTTCAATTATCTATCGACATTATTGTCTTCTATCCAAAACCGATATTCCCCTTCCATCCCGGTTTAAATCAGATCTGTGTAAAGGTGTCATTTTTGGCAATTAAGATGTCGAGTAAGGATGGGAACAAGTTGGAGATCGGTCTACCCGGCTCTAAGATGTGATTAACTGCCATTCTGTGGACACGTTCCATTACTTACACGCCTTTGTGAAATAGCCGAATGACCATGCGTAGTGTTGAACAACATAACATCTCTTAAAACTTTGAAATTGTTCAATTCTCTCATATGTGCAATCCCTTAGACTGGGACGGTAGCCAAGTCGATCTGAATCTCATCGACGCCGTCCTGCTCAACTCCACCCGCATCGGCCACGGCTTTGCCCTCTACAAACACCCGGAAGTGATGAAGATGATTAAACAGAAAGATATAGCTATTGAGGTCAACCCGATATCTAACCAGGTGAGCTCATATCTGAATATTTGTGATATAATTATAATTGCAGAAATATACCCGGACTGTTATAACATCTAACTGAAATTAAGAAAAGTGTGAGTAAATGGGACTTTTAAAAGCGAAAGAAGGATAACACATTGTTGATATATAACTATCTAATGACCGCCTCCTTGATTTGGTGGAGAGTAGGTCAGTGGTTCGAATCCTGGACGTTTCATACCAAAAGACATAAAACATGGTACTTGTTGTTTCCCTGCCTTGTGACCGTCCTCGATAATCTCTAGGGTATACGTTACGATAAATCTCCACAACTACCCTGGATGCATCTATGGCTCGGCCTGATAATTTTATTACCTCCCTTTGCTGGCTCCGTATTCTCACAGTAGCCAATCAATATACCTATTGAGGTCAACCCGATATCTAACCAGGCTGGTGGTATATGGTTTAATCTGGAAACTGATCAGGAGTGAGTGAGTAAGCGAACCCCGTTGGTGAAAATATTAACGACCCAACCCATGATAAATCTCGGCTAGAAGCAGGGGGCACCGTTGGTTACCTTTGGGATGACCACTTGTTTTCTTCATGTTAAATCCCCAAATGTCACCTCTGGTAGATGCTACGTATAAGGATATTGGTTTCATGCTAACTTCATGACCTTGCTTTGATTTTTGAAACATTGTCCAGAACCTTTGACGACACTGGTTAACTAGGTATATGACCATCACGTTAAGTAAAAAATATTCCATGGATCAAGGAATTAATTTAATAAAAATGAGTTTAATTTGTAAATCGACAAACCTGTTTACATGATCCGGGCGAATCTGGGATTCGAACATGGGTCTCTAGTATGGGACGCATGGGACAGACGTTTAGCCCCAGACTAATTGCCTGGGCCTAGAGTTTCGATGCTCTATTTGAGCTAAGATAGTCGTAATCGCCATACATTAACATTAACCTACGACTATCTTAGCTCTAAGAGAGCTTCGAAAATCTAGGCCCTGGTTTGTCGCTGGTACACCGAAGGCACGACACGAACCATACCCACGTATCGTGGATCCTAGCTTAGATGGTGGATCATATGTGTCACCGTGATATTGCTTGTGTTAGTTCTCAACAAACATATTCCATCCGTTCTGTTTTCTGTTATTGATAATCGTTTGAAATCCAAGTCGTTGATTCACACTGGAATCGTATTGGATACTAGGTGTTCTTTACCGAATAAAATTATTTATTGAATATTTTCAGATGATAATAATTTCCATTTCCTATTAATATAATTTATAAAAAATCGATATTTTCTGTAATAATTTAAACAATTGTTTTTCTTTATACTAGGTTTTGAAATTAGTGGAAGATTTGCGGAATCATGGGGCGGTAACTCTGTTCGCTGACGGCTACCCGCTGGTAGTAAGCAGTGACGATCCTGCCGCTTGGGGCGCTCTTCCTCTGTCACATGACTTCTATATGGCGTACATGGCGATGACAAGAGAGGATGCAGGTCTAGAGGTGCTGAAACAACTTGCCATCAACTCTATAATGTAAGACTAGACGGATACCCGTCACCCATTCATCTCAGTAGAAATGTGCCAGTTCAGTAGCGAGTTGTGAGGCTGTGATATCCCGGGTTGCAGTCCTTAGACGAACATGACAAGTTGACGAACCGTCGCATCCACAAAATACAAGAAAAAAAGTGTTATCCATACGTTTGTCATACTAGCCTCTGTTATGATATCCGATTTCTCATTCTTGAATCAGTCGATAGGTTTCTCTTCGGGCAGCGCAGCGAGAATAGCGCCGAAGACAAGACAAACCAGTCCAATCTATGATCCATAGTAAGTAAATTTTAAATCCGCGAAGAAAAACCCGATCCATATTTTCACACCTTCAAAGCAGGAGTGGCGTTTTCCTTTAAGGGCACTTCTTACTAGAAGTGAAAAGGAAGGCACTCGTAATTTATTAAGGTGAGGTCGGGGTAGTGAATCTGCGAGAGCTATGGCACTAGTATGGGACCGTATATTGTCTTGCGGACCCTCTACCTTATATGTAACATGTCCCCCACTCATCATAACAAACATTTACTCCATCTGCACCAAATCGTCAATCTGCGAAAGCGATAGCACTCTAACCTCGGGTCTACGTTACTGACTCACAACATTTGGCTATCGAACATTTTCTCTCACACTATATCAGTAGAACTCGTGCCTTCTCGAGGGCCGGTGGGGTAGCCTAGTGGTTAAAGCGTTCGCTTGTCACGCCTAAGACCCGGGTTCTATTCACCATATGGGTACAATGTGTGAAGAGTATTACAAAAAGCGGCGTAAAACTAAAACTCACTCGTTCCTTCTCGAACTGTAGCTCTGGTCAAGGCTTTAAACCTTTAAATCTAAATTCAAAACCTCAAACCATACTGCTAAAGTAGTGTATGTAACCCCATTCACCATTCGTGACCCAGTCGTGTTATTCCGGGACAAGCCGAATAGCGATTCTCTTCTTGTAGGTTACGGAAAGGGGCGAGTGTGGACGAATGCCCATTAACCTCCTGTATAATACTTTTTCATCCACAATTACAGTACATACTTTTGTTGCAAATATTTTCGTTATTCTGCCTTATAGCAGCCAGCCTTGTTGTAATGAAACCTAATATAAACATACATGATGATGACTTTTATTATTATCATTATGTGTATTATTTATATTTTATTCAGGTATAGCGCAATGACAAGTACAGAGAAAATGGAGGCTATGAAGAAATGGGAGAAAAAGTGGAACGAATTTGTCATCGAGACACTGAGGCAACACATCCGTGGTGGACAGGTGGTCGGTTAAATCTCCCTCAGTCGACGTTAACTGACTGATAGTTTTGTTTTATTTGCATTTTTTTTAAATGGGAATACATGTATAGTCTGTTTGCAGTGAAAACGTACCGATGAATTTCACTTTAAACAAAAAAAGGTATATCAAATAAAGTGAAATTAATATTGCGAATCGTCACAATTTTACCTTGCCAACTGAACATTTAAATCTCAGAATTTTATTTATCTTAGGATAAAAGTTGTTTAACAAACGATCATGCAATGAAATCGCTATTATTGGTTTGCATTACAAAAGGGTAAGAGCAGTAGTTGGAACAGAAACAAATGCACGTGTAGTTCATCGTGAGCGTTAACTTAGACCAACTATACTTGTTCTCGGTGTTTTATTTGATGTGCATACTCCCTTGTAATACAAACCAGTAATAGCGATTTGAAACTATGATCGTTTGTTAAACAACTTTTATCCTAAGTTGAATAAAATTCTGATATTTTAATGTTCAGTTGGCAAGGTAAAATTGTGACGATTCGCAATCTTAATTTCACTTTATTCGATTTACTTTTTTAGAAAAATTGAAATTCATCGGTACGTTTTCACTGCAAACAGACTATAGTTGTAATGGTTGTAAATGCGACTGTTCACGCCTGCGGTTCTTTCCTTCAAAGTAATGGGCCATGCCTTGTGCAATTATTGCTTAATGTTTGTGAACATTACTTGTATTTTAAAAGACAAATGAAAATCAATCCTTGCATTATGTAATAATAGGTGAAAAGCATAAATCGATTAGAATGTATTGTACTGTAGGTGATCGGTTAAATCTCCACAGTCGACGTTAAATGATTCAAAATTTTGATTTATTTGCTTTTTTAAAGTGGGAATAGTAGTATTAATCCGCGGTTGTTTCCTTTAAAGTCATGCCTTGTGCAATTGCTGGTTAATGTTGGTGAACAGGAGCGTACGGATGCATGCAGTTGTTGTATTGACATTTGTATTGCTTGTATTTGTACAGTCCGTTTGGCTCAAAAGCGGACCGATGAAGTGCAATCTAACTCGAAAACTAATAAACATAACATACGCAATGAAACGCTGATCATAATCAAAACATCATACTAACTCTGTGAGGGTTTTGCAGAATTTTTGTCCTAAAAATGAAAAAGTTGTTTAACAATCTATCATTAAAATATTGACACAGTTCAATGTTTGTTACGAGGGAGGAGTGCAGAAAGGGACAGCACAGGTTAATGAATAAATAACTGTCTGTGAACGTGCTTCTCGAACACCTGGCTGTCCCTTTCTCTGCACTCCTCCCTCGTAACAAACAGTGAACTGTGTCAATATTTTAATGATAGTTTGTTAAACAACTTTATTATTTTTAGGGCAAAAATGCAGCAAAAAACTCACAGAGTGGGTATGATGTTTTGATTATGATCAGCGTTTCATTGAGTATTTTATGTTTATTAGTTTTCGAGTAAGATTGCAATTCATCGGTCCGCTTTTGAGCCGAACGGACTATAAAGACAAATGAAAATCAATCCTTGTACTATAACAATAAAAGAGCATAAATCGATTAAAATATATTGTACTGATCAGTAACTTTGCAATGAGTGTTTTTGTTTTTTCACTGTGTTTTTCAGTCATCGACATGGCGTCTAATTATCTGCTTGTCTGTGTGGTACTTGAGGACCTGGTCTATTATACTTCGAAACAAATATGTCCGATAGATCCCATGCAAGTCCAGACTATGTAGCAAGTTTAGATTGCCACAGTTTTGAAGAAAGTCTCTCGGTTCCTTTTGGCATATTTTATGGGGGCGGTGTGGTAGCCTAATGGTTTAAGCGTTCGCTCGTCACGAAGATGACCCGGGTTCGATTCTCCACATCGGTACAATGTGTGAACCCAGATTTACTATGGGCTTGAAATAATATAGAGAATCGAATCTGGTTCGCAACGTCTTGCTAGTGATTCCGAGTTTAGTCGATGATAAGTATGGAATCCTAGAAGGGACACTGCCGCATAAGATAATGACATCAACGCATATAGATGTTCATATTATTGGATCTATGGAGGGCAAGCTGAATGTACATTGATAGACACTAAACAAAATGCCCCTTTTTATTACTGAAAAAATCAAAATACAGTCTTACAACTTCTTGAAACAAAATGTTTTCGTTTCAAACTGAAACATTAGAAAGCATCGGGAAAAGAAAGAATACACTTGGAAATTCGATATGACATTTAATTCATTTTCAAAGTCATTTTCTCGTTTGTATCATGGTCTGTCTCCGTGAAACAGGTGCATACTTTCTTTTGCGCTTTTGTGATCCATAATCATCTTTGTTGAATCATTCGAAGAAAATATAGATGCCATCGGAAATCTTCGGTAAGTTCCGGATGAAATGCCGTTGCAAGAACATTCCCCTGACGACAACCCACAATAACTGCTTCAGGTTTGTCTTCAGTTGACGCGCAAGCCAGGATCTTAACACTGGGGTTTGTTGTCCTGCTGATAGCAGGAGCTCGTATGAATACACCACGAAATGGTTCGTTTCCGGTTTGTATTGAAAGTAGTTCCGGGTCGGTGATGTTGAGATCTCCCTCAAAGCTGTTGACTTGTCTACCGAAGTGGTTACGTGCTACGACTACGTCGAGGGCCTCCAACTGAATATAAATAGTATAAAGATATTAATATATATTATATAAGATACCATGACACTAAAGAAAGAATTTATATTACTACCGTACAAAGGAGTTGGCAGGTGTTTTGGTCCACTGAAAATGTTTAATTTTAAAATTTGGAATAGCCGAAACGTGTTCAACTTTCCGTTTTTGTTTCTTTCGCTAGAAGCAGCGTTTAAAATTCCCGCCTGCCCGACCGTTCGGAACGGTCTTTTTTCATCTCGGACGATCAAACTTCAAAAGTAGCCTGTCCGGTGGTCTGGTAGATGTTTTCACCCCTAACAGTAAATATATCATAACATCAGACAGGTTCTCTTGTCGTTAAACTATTTACGATTGGACAGTTCATTTTACAATAACCAATCACAACACATGTACCTTCAGTTTACCTAAACTTGGTGCATTGCCTCTTAGTTCTATATAGTTCAGTAAAGTATTCAGAAACCTGATTTATTTTTCCATTGTTGAAAACCGGACAGGCAAGTTTGTATCCGGACTGGTAATTTTACCAGTTACCAGTCCGGCTGTCTGGCTTGGGGTTTTGGGAGTTTTAAACACTGAAAGAAGGCTCGGGATTTCTGGGTCAGTGCATAATAATGAAAAATTGGGGAAAAAGCACGGTCAGTAATATTAGAATATATATTAAAAAATCTTTGTGCAAGTCCATGACCCAACATGGTTTCCTCAGCAAATGCTTATCTTTATGGATTTGTTTAGAAATCAGACCCCGCCCCTCCTTACTATAGTAATAAAATAGACCCCGCCCCCATTACTATAGTAATAAAATAGACCCCGCCCCCCATATAGTAATAAAATAGACCCCGACCCTCCTTACTATAGTCATAAAATAGACCCCGCCCCACATCACTATAGTAATAAAATAGACCCTGTGCTTTTTTACTCTGTGTGTGTGTGTGGTGGTGGTGGTGAGCTGGTTGCAATCTTATTAGTTCAAAAATAATATAAACAAACAAGAGTTTTTCTTCTGATGGCCGAAAAAATACACATATGCTTGTCAAACTCTCAGTATCTCACCAGTATAAACTTCTGTCACCATTGTTTTAAGATATATTGAAAAGGGCACTAGAAGGTTATGGGTTTCTCTCCAGTTACTCATGCTCACCGAATATTGACCTCCCTTCTTTTGGTTCTCCGTGACCTTTGACAAAAGGATCATCCCTGCGCATGTTCCCCAAGTCACGTGATCTTTGTCCTTAACCCAATTCTTCAGGGGCTCCTCCATGTCATTTCTTCTCAGAAATAGACTTATGGCTGTGCTTTCACCGCCGGGAATAATCAAGCCAACCATGTCTGACGTAATGTGTGACACATTCCGGACCCCGATGACGTCAACTGTGACGTCATCTGACAGTTCCTTAGCAGCAGCCAGAAGGGATATTTTATGCTCGAGGAATGCTCCTTGAATCTCCAGGATTCCAATTTTTAATGTTCTGTTTTTGCTCTGCATGTTTAAAGATATGAAGCTGACGTCGTTTATCTGTAAGAGAAGATTAGAAACTGAAAGAAATCAGACAAATGAAAATTGGATTTGATAAAAAAGTCATACAAGCGTTAACAAAACCAGTGATCGAAACAATGCAAACTTCAGGCCCCAAAACACAATTATGATACCAGCATAGAATAAAAGTAAATGACCATCGAGCAACCATTTCTGGTTTTATCATATCAAACCCCATTAAACCTAGGGTTGTTTTTCTTTTGGCCATTAGTAGTAATATATCTATTAGTTGGCATAATGTTTGTTTGTACATACTATATAACTGATGAATTCATCTTTGGTACACGGACACCGCATCAAAATACCTATACAAATGTAGGGGTATTCACAGGTGTCACACCTATAGATATTTCATATCTTTCATGAGATAAATAGTTTGACTGTATAACAGGGACATCTGATTGAGATTTGCATTACATTTCATTGTAAACTTTGATTTTTAAATTCATAAGACGTTGTGAAAGGAATAAACATTACACAATCATACACAATTAATGTCACCCAAAATGGAATCTGCCCTACTTTTTAAAAAAATATGATATAATTAAATTTGCTTCGATGTCGTGTTCCAGTAACCCGAATGTGTTACGTAACTATATCGTAGAGAGTGAGGGCTGTTTAACAACTGTGTCCACAATTTTGAATGATAAAACAGTAAACATTTAATGAAAAAAAAAAACCAAATAAATTAAATTAATAAATAAATAAATAAATAAATAAATAAATAAATAAATCAATCAATAAATGGTAAATTCTTGTTCCCAGACGTATAATATTTCAAAATGTCATTGTATCATAATGTAACATTCGTTGGAGAGTCAAACACGTATTCGAATACGCACGAATCCTACATTGCCAAGGTGGACCTGGTATATCATTCTTGTTGGGAAAGCTCCGTGAGATTGTGTTTTGCAGCCGATTTCAACATGGTCGTTTAAGAACAGAAATTACATACTAAGTCTACTCATAAACTATAGGGTAAAGAGGAACACATTTTATGGATTGACAACCCCTTCCAATGCATACTGGCGTTGTCAATCCATAAATGTGTTCCTCTTCATCACAGGGGGCGGTGGGGTAGCCTAGTGGTTAAAGTGTTTGCTCGTCACGCCGAAGACCCGGGTTCGATTCCCCACATGGGTACAATGTGTGAAGCCCATTTCTGGTGTCCCCTGTCGTGATATTGCTGCAATATTGCTAAAAGCGGCGTAAAACCATACTCACTCACTCACTCACTCCTATTCATCACACCAGCTTCTAAATGCCACTTAAAGAAACTATAGGGTAGTTGACAGTGCTAACCTACTTTTATCTAAGGTCTATTAGTATGTACAGACAGAGTTGAAGTTTACTTTAATGTAGTTCAAACGCGTGTGTGTGCATCAAACTCATTAATTGACTACATGCCCCGTGTCTCAATGTGAAGGAACTGTATGCTGTTGTCAGGGCAGTCCTATTTCAACCAGTCAGTAAGTCAGTCAGTCATCTGGACCAATGTGTGGAGGTTTGATCTATATTTAAGTGTATTATAATAACTCATATGGAGGGACGACTCGACCTTTGACCTGGTTCACAATTCGCTGTGCAGAGTTGAACTCTTCACACAAGTCATAATGAGCTCGTAGTGTTCGTTACATAGTGATACAGGTTTGCACGTTTGTCACTTTTACGTTGTTATCAAGACTGACTGACTGAGTTTGGTTTTACGCCGCTTTTAGCAATAGTCCAGCAATATCAGGCTTGCATGGGCTTTTGACGAGCGGAATGACTTTAACGCCAGTAGGCTACCCCACCGCCCTGTTATCACGAGGGTCGGTGGGGTAGCCTAGTGGTTAAAGGGTTTGTTCATCACGTCGAAGACCCGGGTTCGATTCCCCACGTGGGTACAATGTGTGAAGCCCTTTTCTGGTGTCCTCCGCCGTGATATTGCTAAATGAGGCGTAAAACTAAACTCACTCACTCACTTTCATGTCGAGCTGACCTGTCGAGATATAACTGGAAAGAAGCAGCGTTAACTATGACTCCTGCACTCACTCTATACAATGATCCGTTAAAATACAATCTCAAGGTCATATATTATTATTCACCAGTATTCACACACTGAATGTAACTCCCTAAACACTTTTGAATATTAACCGAAGAAAATAAAAACAAAGACTTTCAAACAAGCTCTTCATAATTACGTGACATTTCTGCTAAAACAGTCCAATTCCGAATGTATCAATGATATGTTAATGAATCACCGTCAAACAGAGATGATGACAGGTGTACGCTACTCTGCATTGTTCCCTTTCATTCAACGTCACACCTGACAGTCCTTAGTCTATGAAGTACATACATATCTTCTCGGTTGATCATGTACCAATCCTTTATCTTAATTGATAAGATAGATACTCTTATGAAACTGCATAAAGGATGCTTATACAACCATCCGCTCTCCACTTATATAACAGGTCCAGCGTTTATGAAACAATGATGGGAATTATTTTGTGAAAATACATGTGTATGTCATAGAGTTACGTGAACACACATGACGTTTATTTAATCCAGACATCAACCGGCACCTGTAATCAATTGTTATCACCTGCTTGACAACGAAACAAGAAACTGTATCGAAACATTGCATCACCTGAATATAGAAGTTGTTCATCCTTAAAGTTTGTCCTTATCTGACCTCAATTAAGACTGGAACATATATTGTATTAAATATGTGTTTAGAATATATTGATAAGAAAGAAACTCTTATGAAACTGCGAAAGGATGCTTATACAACGATCCGCTCTCCATTTATGTAACTGGTCCAGCGTTTATGCAACAATAATGGGAATTATTTTGTGAAAATACGTTTATGTCAAAGAGTGCAGTGAACACACATGAAGTTTACTTAAGGACGTACTGATTTGAGACTGCAGCATATATATTATATTAAAAATGTATTTAGAATGTGCATATGTGCGTACCTGCGCGAGCATATGTGAGTATCTGTTTGAAACGTAAATGCATAGAAGAAACTATTGGATTGGGTAACCTACAGAGCGGCACCTACAATAACAAATGAGTGGCCTATACAAGAGTTTATCGGGACGGGACCTTTAGTGGTGGAACCAACTTCTCAAACCTAAAGAACTACCTTAACACTACCTATATCGTCCCTAAGAGATCACAGGGTTAGAATTAAAGCATGATTACGACAAAATAATTATCGCTTAGTGACATCCTAATAATCTCTCGCTTAGTGACATCCTAATAATCTATCACTTAGTGATATCCTAATAATCTATACATTTTAGCGATAAACTGCCTATCGTCGTGCATTTTCCGAAAATCTCATCAAGTTTACATCAAAGTGCATACCATTGTGTTTTATCCTAGTAATGTAAACATATGCTTGAAAACTTACGTTAAAATGGAAATTAAAGGATAGCTACATCACATGACAACATCCGCACTTTCCCAAACATGTGACTGGTCCCATATTTGCTAGCCAGTCCTGCCCATTAGTCATACTCACTTGCTGCTTCAGTTCAAATGTACTATTTTCTAAATTCCGTTTGCTACGGACATGAGAGACAGGTGTGATGGACCGTGGCGACCATTTTGTTGACTGATAGGTTGTTCGAGACACTAATGGCCGTGAGAATGAAAAAAATGCTACATAGTGAACTCCAATAACCAATACGCGTATAATGGCATGACAGATATAACGAACTGGGTCTCGGCCACTTGCGTATAACGAACTATGGTTAAAACGATCTATGGTTAAAGGATCTATGGTTATAACGAACTAAGGTTATACCGAACTATGGTAAAAACGAGCTATGGTTAAACCGAACTAAACTTACTTGCCCCTTTGAGTTCGTTACATTCGTAGTTTGCTTACAATATAGCAGTAACATGCAATTAACATATGTCATTTATTAACATAGTTTCATCCTTATAAACAAGCATTTCAGTTTCTTCCCACAATAGGGGCGGTGGGGTAGTCTAGTGGTTAAGGCGTTCGCTCGTCACGCTGAAGTTTCGGGTTCGATTCCCCACATGGGTACAATGTGTGAAGCCCGTTTAACCAGCCGTTTAACCCACTCAGCCACCGCGACTTCTCACCGTAACATGTGTTATATTTGACCACTTTATAAATGGTATTGTGTATGTACGGCTTCATTATAATTAGGGGATAACTGAACCGTGTTTGACGAATTGGGAACGTGTACTGGTGGTTATATAGCCCCAAATTTAGTTATATCGGCGACGCTTAAAATTCCATCCATTTTAGCGAGATAGGGAGTTAATTGACCCCACCGCCTCTTTTCTTACAGCGTCATTGAATGCAGGATAGTTGTAAAATTGTTATAAACTGGTTAAAAAACAAATACTTACAGCACTGGGCACTCTGACGCAGTTGTAGCAAATCACTCGTCTAAATGATGAGTCCCACTTTTCTTACGAAATAATTCTGACCTCTTTCACATTGACCCGACCCACATACAACGCACTGGCAATGTTAAAACACCGGTATCGCTCTATCTGTGCCAAGACTTACCTTATCTTGTCAAAACTTCCACTAAGTAATAAAACACCAAACATTTGTTTTCGAAAGAGGGTAAAGTGTGGTCTCAACGCTGTAGAGCGCCAGAGTGTTGACATACTTATCAGCGTCTAATCAAAAAGGGCAGTTGTATAGAATATTCTGCGGGGTGACATTGTCACTGACAATGGAGACCGATAAAGCTGATGCAAGAGGTCACGTGATCGACTCTTGTAAATAGGGACACTGAAGAAGATTCGGGCATCAGTGTGCAACGTCCTTCCTCCGTCTACCTAGGACCTCTGGACCAAGCGTTGCTTCAACAGGGTGAGCAATTTTCAACATCTGATAGATTTGTAACGTTACAAGGTGATTTGGGTCGGGGGATGCAGTTATAGCAAGTTAAATTCATGCAATTTAATCTCTACTTTGTCTGAATGGTTTTGTCAAATGTGACATATGTAAGTAAGTGCTGTATTTGGGATTACACGTTCATATTAAAGTAAATGATCTGGTACTTTTTTTTTGTCTCACATTTAGGAGCTAAAAATACTGTGTTGGAAAAACAGAGGTATATAACGAAATTATAGTAGGTCTAAATTTGATTTATATATACATTTTTTTAGAGTTATTATGGTTTCGTTATATACCTCTGATTTTCCAACACAGTACGTTTATCTCAATTCTACCATAACAGTGTTATTAAGATTTAAAAAAAATACATACTGTGTTGGAAAATCAGAGGTATATAACGTGATTACATACCTCTGAATGACTTTGATTAACCAATCACAATCCTGTATTTACTGAAGTCATGGTAGAATGTGCCGTTTTACAGCACCATTAACCCGTGATGATCCGGGTTAGAATTGATCTTCAGTAACCAATGCTTGTCGTAAGTGACAACTAACGGGATCGGGTGGTCAGTCTCGCTGTGTTACTTGCATAGATCGATCCTCATAGGTTTTGGTCCAGATTCGATTATTTACAGACCACCGTTATCTAGCTGCAATTTTGCTACAGATAGCTCTTAGAGACAAACTAACAATCAAACAATAACATGAATATACAAACAAAGCAGTTCATTGGATATTCATATTTATGACATGGACATTTGTTAAAAACGCAATTTTCTGTATTACTTATGCAACACAAATCTATTTGAAACTTACTTTCACATGTTGTGTTGCCCTTATAAGGAACTGTTATCGCACAAGCGCACCAATAGTGTCACGTGAACTGTTGACCCTGGAGCTCGAGACAAGCACGTGCTGTATGTATTCAAATCACGTTCAGTATACTACGCACGTTGACCCAGAGAGCCTCTATCTATTTCAGAACAGTCCAGAACACCAAAGATGGCAACACTCGTAAACGGTAAGTTAGTACTTGGTAAAGAATTTAATATGATTTTAACATGAATGTTTTATAAAAAGTCTCGCCGAGTCTTTTCATATGAAATACATCAACACGAGTCGAAAAAAGAATATTACTCAGATGTTAAATTCGTCCCTGTGATTCGAAATCCTGATGATTTTCCAAGATTTGTCAGCACCATATCTACCCATGAGGATCCGGTTTGGAATTGCTCTTCAGCTACCCCAGGCGACTAACGGGATCGGGTGGTCAGGCTCGCTGATTCGTTTGATGCATGTTATTGTACCCAAATTTCGTAATCATTTTGTAATGGCAATGGTTTGTCTAGTCCAATCTCACCGTCATGTATTATATGTACATATTTTCTTGTGTAGCGTTAAAGAAAAATATACAGCATCTTATCCGTTCTCGCCTAAGACTTACGTCTCTTTAAAGCTTCTTACACCATTCTGTCTCTCTACCCACACCGCGGGCGGTGGGGTAGCCTAGTGGTTAAGGCGCTCGCTCGTCACACCGAAGACCCGGGTTCGATTCCCCACATGGGCACATTGTGTGAAGCCCATTTCTGGTGTCCCTAGCCGTGATATTGCTGGAATATTGCTAAACGCGGCGTCAAACTAAACTCACTCACTCACTACCCACACCGCCGAGCGAAGGTGTTGTGATATTCTTTTAAACGTTGGTGTCCCCCGTCGTGATGTTGCTGGAATATTGCTAAAAGGGACAAAAAGCCAAACTCACTCACTCACCTTTTCAAACGTTTAATTGTCCTGACTACTCGCCCACTGTATTTGAATCTAACACAGATTTGCATTACAAATTCAATGCATTATATGTGATTTACGTTGTAGGTTCCGGTATCAACGTCACTAACCTCGTGGTCGACAATGCTGCAAAGACATCCTCCCAGACAGGTATGATACAAATGGGTCACTTCATGTAAATTCAGAATGCTCTTTTCGTTTCGTCTACCCGTGAAGATCCGGGTTAGAATTCGTCTTCAGCAGTCCATGCTTGTCGTAAGAGGCGACTAATGGGATCAGTAGGTCAGGCTCGATGTCTTGGTAGACATGATTCGTATTTCGATAATCATGTTATTGCTGGATTGTCTAGTCCAGACTCGATTATTCCAATTCTGAATTGGGTTGCTGTTTAAGTGACGTTACAGGGTGTTTTCTTTTCTGACTAGAATGATAACCTTGACCTTCAGGTACGTTCAAGGTGAAGGCCGGGATGGCCCAGATGGCAAAGGGTGGGATCATCATGGACGTTACCACACCGGAAGAAGCAAGAATCGCAGAGGAAGCTGGGGTGCGCATACAAAATAGAGAGCCAACTAGAAACGAAAGAAATTTAAACCAGATAGACACCCATGATTTAGTTCTGTTAAATTACTTTCGCGTTCGTGAACTTTTTTAATTTTCTATTATAAAGATATAAAATGAGCATTAATATTCCATATTTCAGGCATGCGCAGTGATGGCTTTAGAACGAGTTCCGGCCGATATACGCCGTCAAGGTGGTGTTGCTCGAATGACAGATCCCAAGGTTAGACCTTACTATCATAATGTATTAACGGGTCTATATCATCCTCCATCCAAGTAACAATAGAAGTCGGCGACGCCAGTTTAGATCTAAGTTCACTCCATGATTCTCCCCGTGTTTACAGATTATTAAAGGGATAATCGCCGCCGTCACTATTCCCGTCATGGCCAAAACCCGCATCGGTCACTTTGCTGAGGCGCAGATCCTGGAGTCGCTGGGAGTGGACATGATTGACGAGTCAGAAGGTGACTATACAGTAGTGTTGGGAATTGGTTGAAATCTCACAATTGATGATTGCTTCATTACCAACGAACAATCATCGAAAAAAATTGGTTAGCGTCATTTTTCAGATTTTCCTACCAAGGTTGTTATTGTAGATATGTATAACATGATGCAACTTGCTACTTTAAAGTGATGAGTAATATATCATGAACATAAACTTTCTGGAGTCTTCAAGAAATATTCAGTCATGACTTTTCAGTTAGTGAAGTGAGTTTTCTAAGAATTAAACAAGTTTTCAGGCCCTGACAACTTCGAAGATATGTTCCATCGTCAAGTGTTTCAAACACTAAAACAGCAGTTCCAAAATCATTTGTGTTCGATTATGAGAAAATGTGATCGATTGCTTGGTCGTTTGGTCACTTCGACCAATCTTCGATTATTTCAAATAATCGGACCACCACTACGATACAGTAGAGGGAGAAAGGATGTATCCATAATATACCCATACCCATGCTCCTTGAATATAGTTCTGGTAAAATTAGACCAGATCAACCAAATATGAATAAGTGGTGGTCCAATTGATTGAAATAATCGAAGATTGGTCGTAATGACTAAACGACCAAGCAATCGATCACATTTTGTCATAATCGAACACAAACAATTTTGGAACACTTGTTTGCATTGACAATATTTATCACAAGGTTGGTTTTGTTTGTTGCGTTTCATAAGCACTACAAGCTCGTTCCAAGTCATGATTAAAATTTATCTTGAAGACTCCAGGAAATTTATGTTCCTAACATATTAGTCATCCTTTAAAGACATGAAATTTGCCAAAACAACCGAAAGAACTACATGTTTTGTTCTTTATTTTGTGTACATTAACAAACATAACCAGGACAATTTGATAAATAACGCTAACCAACTATTTTCGATGATTGATCGGTTGTAATCAACCAATCATCAATTTTAAGATTTTAACCAATTCCCAACACTAATATGAATGCTTGTTGTAAGAGGCGCCTAACTAACTGATAAAGAGTTTTATGTTGCTTCCGTGCATAACAACAAACGTTTTACAAGGAGGGTCAATAATCCAGCAATACTCTTTATAACGAGTACTCACTGGTCAGATAGATGCTAGAAACCCAATAAAGTTTTCCAAAGTTAACTGGAAATTTTCGAAATACTGGAACGATGCAAGACACCTTTGCCTGCCATCCAGATAACGCTTGTGTACAGTGACACCAGGTTGACTGAGTGAGTCTGGTGTTTCGCCGCTTTAAGCAATATTCCAACAATATCACTGAATGTGAGATCAGAAATAGGCTTCACATATTGAACCCATGTGGGAAATCGAACCCGTGTTTTCGGCGTGGCGAGCGAACGCTTTAACCACTAGGCTACCCCAAAGCCCTTGTCAGCTGGTTGTACCTTTGAACCATCTACAATACATCAAGTTTGCTCGTGTCTGGCCGAATACTGCTTGTGTCGTGTTCATCGAATACTCACATGGTGGCAGGTGCTTCATTGATAACTTGAATACTTATCGATAAAATCTACAACATTAACGTCTCTTTTTGAAGTGTTGACGCCAGCTGACGAAGAAAACCACATTGACAAACACCCGTTCAAGGTTCCCTTTGTGTGTGGAGCCAGAGACCTAGGCGAGGCATTGAGGAGGATCTCCGAGGGTGCGGCCATGATCAGGACCAAGGGAGAGGCCGGGACAGGTGAGAATGAGCGAGTTTGGGTGAGTGAGGTGAGTTTAACGCCACCCTTCAGTATTTCCGCTAGATTGGTCTTCAGCAACCCGTGCTTGTCGGGCGGGATCGGGTGGTCAGGCTCGCTGACTTGGTTGACACATGTCATTGTATCCCAGTTGCGTAGATCGATGCTCACGCCTTTGATCACTGGACTGTCTGGTCCATTGTCCATTATTTACAGTAAACAATCAATCGATCATCAAATATCTTTAGACTAAGGATTATGAATCTGTGCGTAATTCGAGGATCCGGATCATTGCAGAGCGATTAATTCGTCATCTCTGACACTTCCGTGATTTCCATGTTGTTATAATACGTGATCCAGAGTGTATTACCTGTGATCAATATCATAAACATTGCTGTTGCCTAGGCGACGTGTCGGAAGCGGTGCGACATGCTCGAACTATCAACAAACAGATCAAGATAGCCCAAGCCCTCGACTCCACAGAACTCTTCGCATATGCCAAAGAACTCCGAGTTCCATATGACCTTCTTAAGAAAACTGCGGAACTGGGACGACTTCCGGTAGTCAACTTTGCAGCTGGGGGACTTGGTAAGTACATAGTGTTGCGACTGGTGTGTTCCGATTGCAAGAGACGCAGATACGTGTATATGTACATAAAGATCTGTGGCAAAATGTATTAGGTTACCTCGCACCCAGTGTGTTCCGATTGTGTGTTTTCTGATAGTAAGTTCATTAATCTTATGTTTAACATAATGTTCCAAAATACATGTTTTGATTTTGACTCCGATTGTGTAAGTCGTGTTACAGCCGGCATATCTAGATTCCGATTGTATACGTACATTATATAATGGTCTTTTGAGGTTCTTGAGAGGCATATAGAAGTTGGTATTCAAGTATAAGACAAAATATTATGGTTGTCAACTTCTTCTTTATTGTATACACAACGTTTCTGGGCTTTTCCTTGCTTTCGCTTTAGTCTTGGTTTCGAATCTCCATATGGCTACAAAACATGAAGCCCATTTTCGACATGAAGCCCATTATTCGAATTTTGCTGCATGCGGCGTAAAATTATCCTCACTCACTACAACGAATGTCATACCTGTTGCAGCTACTCCGGCCGACGTGTCGTTACTGATGCAGCTGGGGGTGGACGGTGTTTTCGTTGGGTCAGGAATATTCAAGAGCTCCAACCCTCCCCCCTCGGGCACGTGCAATGGCGCAGGCTGTCACCCACTTCCGGGATGCTGCAAAACTGGCACAACTGAGTGAAGACCTCGGGGAAGCCATGTTTGGCATTCCTGTCAACCAAAGGCAACCAAATGTGGCCGGCACGTCCGTTGATATGAAGATGAAGGACATGAAAATCTGGGATGCAACGTTAGGAAACCCTAATAAGTCCACTCATGCTTGATCTTATATACCGTGTCGCTATGTCTCATTCGACAATAACGTTCACTGTTTTCATTGTACGTAATCTGTATATAAAGTTACCACATACCTGCACTCATCAGTTGTAATCGAATTAGGAATCTCAAAAAGCCAGGGCGGTGGGGTAGCCGACTATTAAAAGCGTTCGCTCGTCACGCCAAAGATCCGGGTTTGATTCCCCACATTGGTATAATGTGTGAAGCCAGTTCTGGTGTTCCCCGCCGTGGCATTGCTGGAATATTGCTAAAAGTGGCGTGAAACTAAAACTCAGTCACTCAAGGAGTCACATATTTTGGTTTTAATGTAAACACGCTCATTTTTAACCCTTATACACCTTGTACCTTTTCCAAAAATAATTGAATAGCTATTATGGTCACATTATTTCGTCACAGGTATAGTCGATGTCACGTAATTATGTACTCATATGAATAAAATCAATGCCTGTTTTAGCGGTCGTTATGTTATTATAACTATCACACACTATGAACTGACTGTACCAAGAATCACCACGGCCATATTGCAAACGCCGTTGATACCGCATTGCACTGCACCGCACCGAACCGAACCGAACCGCACCGCACCGCACCGCACCGAACCGAACCGAACCTAACCTAACCAAACCAAACCACACCGCACCGAACCACACCGCACCGAACCGAACCACGTCACACGGGACCACATCGATGTCGGTCAACAGGCCTGATGAGTGTTCTGTCTTCATGCTTGAGGTTCTTTAGTGTACTCATATCTATTTGAGAAATGGTTTATTTCGCTGCTTGCAAAACTGTCTAATGGGTGAGTGAGTGAGTGTTTTGTTCGGTTATAACACACGTCAGCTAGATGTTGAAATTAGGAAGTGTACATGGCAGTACATGTGTACTTCGGTTACACACACACGCTTGGTGCTTACAGCCCATGAAGATATGAGTCAGACTTGGTCTGCAGCAACTCAATACTGGTCGTAAGAAGCAGCTAATAAACAGGGCCTAGATTTTCGAAGCTCTCTTAGCGCTAAGATAGTCGTAAGTTAATGTTAATGTATGGCACCTACGGCTATCTTAGCGCTAAGAGAGCTTCGAACATCTAGGCCCAGGATCGGTGGTCTGACTCACTGACATGGTTGACACACGTCATCGTATTGCGTAGATAGATGCTCATGATGTTAATCACAGGATTGTCTGGTTCAGACGGCGATCATACAGCTGGAACATTGCTGACTGCGTTAAACAAACAAACAAACAAACAAACAAACAAACAAACAAACAGATATTGGGGCTTACAATCAACGGATGATAAATCAGCAGGGGTGGAAATAACCCATTGCCCGACGCCCGAGTCCAGTGTTTTTTTCTGTCGGGCAAGCAAATTTGTATATCACACTGTACCGGTGTCCAGTTGACTTTCCAATATTAATTATGTTGTTTATTTAAAAAATCAACAAGAAAACGGCCGGTATAGTGGAAAAATTATCAGGGCAAGTGATTTTACATGTGCCACTGTACCGGAGTACACTAGTAATTTTAAAGTTATTTCCACCCCTGATTAGGGGACTGTGAAAGCTGCAGTGACTGATTCATATATGTTGAACGTAAAGAGAGACGTTAAGAGGCGAGGTCTCCATTGTTGTGATTATAACTGTTATAGAGATAGTGTTATCTTCGCCCTCGTGTTCAGCTCCCAGCAGCGGCTGGTTGTGAGAACAGGACCAGACTTTTGTTCCTATGTTGTAAACAGGTAATGTCACAAGGCCCTGCCATACGTTGGAAATGTGATCTAGGGCTGCACGTTACCTTAAACCGACTTGTAGTATGACTCAAGTGAAGATAACCGACGTCATAACACATGTTCTTTTTTGGGATTACACTTTCTCAGTAAAGTACAGGTTCTAGTACTTTTTCTTGGGTTGCGCCCCATCCGGGATTCGAACCCACAATCTCAGAGTCAGGCACCTAATTGCCTGCACACAAAGTCAGCCGTTTAACCCACTCAGCCACCGCAACTTCTCACCGTAACATGTGTTATATTTGACCACTTTATAAATGGCATTGTGTATGTACGGCTTCATTATAATTAGGGGATAACTGAACTGTGTTTGACGAATTGGGAACGTGTACTGGTGGTTATATAGCCCCAAATTTAGTTATATCGGCGACGCTTAAAATTCCATTCAATTTAGCGGGTTAGAGAGTTAATTGACCTACGGCTTCTGCAAATGACAATGCCCTGAAAAACAGCGTTACCCCAATAGTGTAGGGATACATTCAAAGGTTTTGGTGAATAGGTTTTCAAACTGCGACCGTATATGCTGATATATTGACCAATCAGAACTCGTGTTACATAATAACTTAAGTTAGAATGAACAATAAGCAAAAATGACACGTTCGTGCGTGTCAAGGCATGGCTCACAATCCGAAAGTGTGTTGAGAGGCGTTTTGACAGTTGAACATGACATTTGACAGGGACTGTTAATGTGAGATTACATAAAATATACATTGACGACATTTCCCTCACATCTACATAATGTACAGAAAATCAGTGACTTACAAGCTACAAGGTTCAACTCAAGTTTGAGACAATGAATGTGTTTATTCAATTAACTAATCACATGACGATCAGTTGGGACTTACTACTTACCTACTCTACACCACCCTCTCTTATTCCCTTACTCTCTCTCTCTCTCTCTCTCTCTGTCTCTCTCTCTCTCGTGAACTGACATATTTACAATATGCGATTGATCAACATATTGACCTATCTGTAAAATATTGTATATATGCCAGTCACTCATTGGAGAGTGAGTGAGTGAGTTTAGTTTTACGCCGCTTTTAGCAATTTTCAGCAATATCACGGCGGGGGACACCAGAAATGAGCTTCACACATTGTGCCCATGTGGGGAATCGAACCTTGGTCCTCGGCGTGACGAGCGAACGCCTTAACCACTAGGCTACCCAACCGCCCCGTCACTCATTGGAACTACGTAAAGACGCGACGTACGTCAATACTGTCATCGTCTTAAAACAAGGATACAAAGTCAACATGGCCTACAACACTGAGTCCCGATAACCTTTCGGAACAGATGCCATTAATCGTAAGTCAGAATAACGATGAAAATATATAAACAGGTCAATAAAAATCAATGACCACAGCAGATTTTCGATAAAAGGGCAGATTTACGTGTCAAATGTGTGACAGTAAAACCACCTCCTGGTATGTACAATTGAACGAATTCACCTTTAATATTTTAACCTAAGCTCGGACTAATCTCACATTTCATCGGACAAGGCCGTCAGCAGGAACTTCGTCAACACCATTGTTTTCCTACTGCGTGTTTTGGCTGTAGCAGGTGCGTGGTGATTACCTTCAACACGAAGCCATGGCCCTCGCGTGTTTGGTGTGTACTCCGCACACTGCTGTCGCTACAGGTCACTCCACAGACAACCAAATGTTTGGTAATTCATTTCACCTTTTCTGCATTATCACAATTAACTGGAATCATTTCAATTCGTCAATGTGAGTGAGTGGGTTTAGTTTTACGCCGCTTTTAGCAATATTCCAGCAACTTCACGGCGGGGGACACTAGTAATGGGCTTCACACATTTGGGCTTTACACCTTGAATCTCTAATATTTACGATAAAATAGCATACTGATTTAAGAATGTCCATGTTGATTTCATCACCGAATGAAGATTTGCTGTATAAAACTGTTTTTATGTTATAACCATGGATAAAGAAAATACGTATCATTTCTAATGTTTGCATTATTTCGGCATGTGCAAAGAAAATGTAAAGCTTCTTTGGTTCTTAGATAATGATACTAACGTATTGCTAAAAGCGGCGTCAAACTCAGTATTATCTTTCTGATACAAGGCGATTACATTTGTCAGCTGAGTAATGTACTGGGCTGCTGATTACATGGTGCGGATTTCCAAGCTGTGAGGCTGGTAGGGTAGTCTAGTGGTTAAAGCGTTTGCTCGTCACGCCGAAGACCCGGGTTCGATTCCCCACATGGGCACAATGTGTTAAGCCCATTTCTGGTGTCCCCCGCCGTGATATTGCTGGAATATTGCTAAAAGCGGCGTAAAACTAAACTCAGTCAGTCAGTCTAATATTTAGGATAAATTAGCATACTGATTTAAGAATGTCCATGTTGATTTCATCACCGAATGAAGATTTGCTGTAGAAAACTGTTTTTATGTTATAACATGGATAAAAAAAATACGTATCATTTCTATTGTTTGCATTATTTCGGCATGTGCAAAGAAAATGTAAAGTTTCTTTGAAATGATACTTACGTATTCAGTCTTATATTTCTGATACATTCTGGTGTCCCCCGCCGTGATATTGCTGGAATATTGCTAAAAGCGGCATAAAACCAAACTCACTCACTCACTCACTTTCTGATACATGGCGATTACATTTGTCAGCTGAGTAATGTACTGGGCTGCTGATTACATGGTACGGATTTCCAAGCTGTGAGGATGGTGGGGTAGCCTAGTTGTTAAAGCGTTCGCTCGTCACGTCGAAGACCCGGGTTCGATTCCCTACATGGGCACAATGTGTGAAGCCCATTTCTGGTGTCACCCGCCGTGATATTGCTGGAATATTGCTAAAAGCGGCGTAAAACCACACTCACTCACTCCAGGCTGCGATAGCTGTAAACCTGACCATACCCTCTACAGTATGTAGTGATTAATTTCAAACATGTTAGGGGCGGTGGGGTAGCCTAATGCTTAAAGCGTCGGCTCGTCACGCTGACAACACGGGTTCGAATCCCCACATGGGCATAATGTGTGAAGCCCATTTATGGTGTCCCCCGCCGTGATATTGCTTTAATATTGCTAAAAGCGGCGTAAAACCCAACTCACTCACTCACTCAAACTTGTTATTGTCTGATTTTTGTTTTCTTTCGCCACCGACCTTGTGTTTTGCGAAAAGAAATGATTAAAACCAAGTAAAAATACAATAAAATGCCTGAAGACGTTTTCAGTATGTATCATTAGAGATCTTGTTGTACCCCCGGATATATTTTGAAAGTTTGGACATTCAGACAAATTGCTCATATTTCTAACACTTGGAAGTTGTGGTCCTTGGATGTGGTCAGTCAAGGTTCCCACCTATCTTTTGAAATCAAATGGTAAATGTTTTGTGATCAATGCTTTGTTTGTGATCAATGTGTAAGTTTTGGTCAATGTTTTCTTTGTGATCTATTGTGATTAATGTGTTGAATGTGGTCAATGTTTTGCTTATTTGTTGTGATGAACGTTATGTTTGTGATCAATGTTTTGTTTGTGATCAATGGTTTGTATGAGCACACAATGTCATTCAGAAAGTGATCAGACCTTTGAAGATCCGGGTTAGAATTGGTCTTCAGTAACGCATGCTTGTCGTAAGAGGCGACTTACGGGATCTGGTGGTCAATCTCGTTGACTTGTTTGACACATATCATGGTATCTCAGTTGCGTAGATTGATGCTCATGCTGTTGATCACTGGATTGTCTGATCACTCGATTATTTACAGACCGCCGCCATATAGTTGGAATATTGACGAGTGCAGCGTTAAACAACAACCAAACGAAAGCAAACCAGAAGTCCTCAGTGAAGTGCAGATTCTGGTGCTTTTAGGAGCCGTGGGAGCCGTGGCAATTTGCACTTGACTTGTACTTTGTGTAGATTAGCACGGTTCCGACGGCCGAAAGCTATGAATACTCAGAAAGTGTAATTCCCCAACATGTGTAATTTTCCCAAACATTCGTGTTAGATGATACTTTGATGAAAATATTTTTTCTCCAAAACAGTTTTTCAACATTAAGAACCGTGCAGATAACCAGCTTTAGTTTCAGTAATATATCAAACAAGTATGCTTATTTCATAATTTATGTTGATCTTGCGAACACGACAGGCCATTTACAAATTGTTGTACATTGCGTTGTATGTAAATACATACATTTTGTTATGCGTGTCTCCTATGAGTAAATAACACCCAGGTATGTGAATGACAGACACAGTTAAATTCCTTGACTCGGTTTGCGTGTGTCCATGTATATTTTGCCCTCATATTCAGTTGTTTATTTGGAGCACAAGTGTATAAAAACGCCCCCCACATTCTTATTATTTGAGGTAACGTATCGTTCTTGGAAAAGGCGCAGTATATGTGCTTGAACAAGCTGAATGCTTTTAAGTTGTATTTATTTGGGGTAAAGCTTCTTTTACTAAAGGGGCGGTGGGGAAGCCTAGTGGTTAAAGCGTTGGCTCGTCACGCCGAAGACCCAGGTTCGAATCCCCACATGGGTACTATGTGCGAAGCCCATTTCTGGTGTCCCCCGCTGTGATGTTGCTGGAATATTGCTAAAAGCGGCGTAAAATCAAACTCAAACATGTCAGTCAGTCAGTCTGTCTTTTACTAAAACCCCAGTTTTATGGCAGCGGTCTCTATATAATGGAGTCTGGATCAGACAATCCAGTGATTGACATCATGAGCATCGATCTACGCATTTAAGATACGATAACATGTGTCAACCAAGACAGCGAGCCTGACACACCATCCCATATACGCATCTTGAGACAAACATTGGTTGCTGAAGATCCATTTTAACCCGCAACTTCACGGGTCATGAAATCAAATTTAAAACGAAAATATGCTGAAGCTGTTGACGTGCTTCCATCACGCAGGGACCTAGTGGTTAAAGCGTTCGCTCGTCACGCCGAAGACCCGAGTTCGATTTCCCACATGGGTACAATGTGTGAAACCCATTTCTGGTGTCCCGCGCCGTGATGTTGCTGGAATATTGCTAAAAGCGGCGTAAAACCATGCTCACTCACTCACTCGACCCCACTGCAAACGGTGTATTTTGTATGTTGTTTAACTTCGCACCCAGCATTCCAACGGTGTGACGAAACAATAAATCAACAAGTTGAAACGTTGAGGTAGCTGATTTAATGCCCAAACAAAGGGTCAATTGTGACAGTGCCTTGTAGTGTAACTGAGAGTAAACGAGAACAATATACTGAAACACTGAAATAACAGGTCACATGGGGTATTCATGATTTCACGTTTGAAGACACCAATATATATCTTCTTCTCATTACTGATTCGCTAGAGGAACATTAGAGATAAAGTACCTGGTAGGTACTCACATGTATATTATGTGTAAAACACCAGTTCAAATGAATACTCAGATTTAACAATCCTCAGAAACAGTTTCAATTTTCTATAGATTAGAAAAATATGTAAATGGATAATTGAAAATCAGTGATGATATCATGTGACCGCGAAAAGTGTAAGCATGTCGTGCCCTACCGACGATGTTTCTAAAAGTTAAAAACTGATGCCAAATGGCAATGGCAGTGTTTGAGGTAGTGCGTCTATATTACGGTGTAAATGAGGATTGCTGTTGCCGCTGCGCAGCAGACTGTACTGAAGACGCTGCCAAGAGACGCACCGTTGTTGTTACCAAGGATATCCCATCGATTTACTCCCCCCATTGCTTCTTCTGTCACACGAACATCATCGGCATCAGCGTCGGCAACACCAACATGGTCCTCGTCTTTGTAGTCACCATCAGTGTTCACTGTGGTGTCGCCACCCAAAACCTTTTTGGAACGCCCGACCTCTTCAGTATAGGCTCCGTTTGGATGTTTCGTTGAGGTCATCAGTACTGTTTCAGGTTTGTAAGTGGGAGTGAAACTTGTCATCCCCGTGGTCATAGGAGTAATGTTGGAGTTTAAAGGGGTTAAAGCTGTTATCTTTTCCGAGTCCCCATTGGAGTCATTGTTTTCTATGGAGGTCGTATGATTTCCTTTCAGATGTTCGCTCTTTCTTTTCTTATTTTGTTCGTTCTCCAGCAGCTCACCATCCCTTTCTTCACGCATCTCATTAGTTCCCTTTTTCTCCTTCAGCGCCATCATTTTCTTTCCCCTTCTTTCCTTTTCTTCTCTTTCTCTTTTTTCCCTTTCTTTCTGTTCTTTCTCTTGCCTCTCTTTTTCTTTCTGCATCTTTTCAATTTCCATTTTCTCACGCCATTCTTTCATTTTCCTTTCCCTTTCTTTCTCCTTTCTTTCTTCTTCTCTCCTTTCCCTTTCTCTTTTCTCTCTGTTCTTCTGCATCTTTCAATCTTTTTTTTTCACGCCATTCTTTCATTTTCCTTTTTTTTCTTTCTCCTTTCTTTCTTCTTCTCTCCTTTCCCTTTCTTTCTGTTCTTTCTCTTGCCTCTCTTTTTCTTTCTGCATCTTTTCAATTTCCATTTTCTCACGCCATTCTTTCATTTTCCTTTCTCTTCTTTCTCCTTTCTCCTTTCTTTCTTCTTCTCTCCTTTCCCTTTCTTTCTGTTCTTTCTCTTGTCTCTTTTTTTCTTTCTGCATCCTTTCAATTTCCATTTTCTCTCACGCCATTCTTTCATTTTCCTTTCTCTTTCTTCTCTCCTTTCTTCTTCTTTCTTTCCTTTTCCTTTCTTTCTGTTCTTCCTTTCTTTGCCCTCTTTTCTCTTTTCTGCATCTTTTCAATTTCCATTTTCACGCCATTCTTTATTTTCCTTTCCTTTTTTCTTTTCCTTTCTTTTTCTCCTTTCCTTTTCTTTCTGTTCTTTTCTCCTTTCTCTCCTTTTCTTTCTGCATCTTTTCCATTTCCATTTTCGCACGCCGTTCATTCATTTTCCTTTCCCTTTCGATCTCGGCCCTATCCTTTTGCGTCAGTTTGTCCTTTTCTTTCTGACCCACATTTTTCTTTGATTCGGTGACTCCAGTCACCATACATTTGTTTGGTTCCCTGTCAGTACAAAACACAAGTCTTCAAAGCAGAATAAAATGTCTTCAATGCTGAATAAATCATTTTAATTATTCCACCATGCCAGTTACTCCTATCCACCTCTACCTTTGGAACACAAAGCACTCCTTTTACCACCTAAAGCATTCCCTTCACCACACATACCGCTCCCTTCACCACATCCAACTCTCCCTTCACCACACCCAACCCTCCCTTCATCACACCAAGTACTCCCTTCACCACACCCTCACCACACCCACCTCTCCCTTCACTACACCCACCTCTCCTTCACCACCAGCACTCCTTCATCATCACACCCATCTCTTCCTTCACTACACCACACTCCCTTCACCACACCCACCTCTCCCTTCATCACACCAAGTACTCCTTCACCACACTCCACCTCTCCTTCATCACACCAAGTCTCCTTCACCACACCCACCTCTCCCTTCACCACACCCACCTCTCCCTTCACCACACCCTCACCACAACCACTCTCCCTTCACACACATACCGCTCCCTTCACTCACACCTAACCCTCTTCATCTTTCACCCACCTCTTCACCTTCACCATACCCCTCACCACACCCACCTCTCCCTTCACTACACCCACCTCTCCCTTCACCACACACACATACCGCCTTCCCTTCACCACACACCTAACCCTTCTTCATCACACCCATTATCTTCTCTTCACTTCACCACCTCCCCTCACCACACCCACCTCTCCCTTCACTACACCCATCTCTCCCTTCACCACATACCACCTTCCCTTCACCACACCAACTCTCTCCTTCACCACACACCCACCTCTCTCTTTCACCACACCCAATCTCACCACACCCACCTCTCCCTTCAGCACACAAAGCACTACCTTCACCACACCCACCTCTCCCTTCACCACACCATTCACTCCCTTCACCACACCCACCTCTCCCTTCACCACACACTCCCTTTCACCACACCACACCTCTTCATCACACCCTGCACTCCCTTTCCTTCACACACTTCCTCTCCCTCTTCACCACACCCTCACCACACCCACCTCTCCTTTTCATCACACCTCATTTATTCACCACACCCACCCTCCTCCCTTCACCACACCCTCACCACACCCACCTCTCCCTTCACCACACCCCTCACCTCACCACAACCTCTCCTTCTTCAGCACACAAATTCACTCACCTTTCACCACACCCACCTCTCACTTCACCACACCCTCACCACACCCATCTCTCCCTTCACCACACCCACTCCCTCACCACACCCACCTCTACCTTCATCACACCAAGCACTCCCTTCACCACACCCATCTCTCCTTCTTCACCACACATACCGCCTCCCTTCACCCCCACCTCTCTCTCACCTTTCCACCTCTCCCTTCACCACACCCTCACCACACCCGGACCTCTCCTTCAGCACACAAAGCACTACCTTCACCACACCCACCTCTCCCTTCACCACACCCTCACCACACCCACCTCTCCCTTCACCACACCCACCCTCTCCCTTCATCACACCAAGTACTCCCTTCACCACACCCATCTCTCCCTTCACCACACCCTCACCACACCCACCTCTCTCTTCATCACACCAAGTACTCCCTTCACCACACCCATCTCTCCCTTCACCACACATACCGCTCCCTTCACCACACCCATCTCTCCCTTCATCACACCAAGTACTCCCTTCACCACACCCATCTCTCCCTTCACACACATACCGCTCCCTTCACCACACCCCCTCTCCCTTCACACATACCGCTCCTTCACCACACACCCAACTCTCCCTTCACCACACCTAACCCTCCCTTCATCACACCAAGTACTCCCTTCACCATACCCTCACCACCCACCTCTCCCTTCACTACACCCACCTCTCCTTCACTTCACACACCCACCTCTCCCTTCACCACACCCATCCTCCCTCCTTCACCCACCCTCCCTCTCCCTTCACCACACCCCTCACCACACCCACCTCTCCCTTCAGCACACAAAGCACTACCTTCACCACACCCACCTCTCCCTTCACCACACCCTCACCACACCCACCTCTCCCTTCAGCACACAAAGCACTACCTTCACCACACCCAACTCTCCCTTCATCACACCAAGTACTCCCTTCACCACGCCCACCTCTCCCTTCACCACACCCTCACCACACCCATCTCTCTCTTCACCACACCCACCTATCCCTTCACCACACCCATCTCTCCCTTCATCACACCCACCTCTCCCTTCGCCACACGGAATGAATCTTTCCGGCCAAAGGTATATATTATTCATGCATTGGTGTCCTGTACCCTGTATGTGTGTCGTACACATGGCTTCCATACATGGAGTTCAATGAGCTCTACTTGTATAAGATCACGTGTAAGATCCAAATAACAAGAAAGGATACTGCAAGTTATATCGATTGTGAGTCAGCTAGTTAAGCTGGACGCAATCTTGACCTTGTCTGTATTCAGCACGGGTCATAGATGACGACCACTTCAGATACTCGCAAACATACAGAATCATGATAAAAGGCCATGCACCACGAACGTAAAATAAGAACCTGAGATCGACCATTGAGGCAGATAATCGCTTATAATCGTGGTTGTATGGAAGTACCAATAATGGGGGTTAAAAGAGAAAACAGTAACCTGGGCTTATCGTTTTGTTGGTCATTCTTACCTCTGCAAAGGTTTCTGCAAGAACTCTGCAAATACTTGAATATCACGCCAATCCTGCTGGGAAGACTAGCTGCATCACATTTCAACCTGGCTTCGTTGAGGCATCGTAGGTAGGCACTGGAAGAACTGAAACATGACGTTTGACGTGCAGTCAGACAATTGTCCTGGAGGAACTGAAACAAGATGTTTGGTGTGGAGTCAGACAACTGTCCTGGAGGAACTGAAACATGACGTTTGATTTGGAGTCAGACAACTGTCCTGGAGGAACTGAAACATGACGTTTGACGTGGTGTCAGACAACTGTCCTGGAGGAACTGAAACATGACGTTTGACGTGGAGTTAGACAACTGTCCTGGAGGAACTGAAACATGACGTTTGACGTGGAGTCAGACAACTGTCCTGGAGGAACTGAAACATGACGTTTGACGTGGAGTCAGACAACTGTCCTGGAGGAACTGAAACATGACGTTTGATGTGAGACAAGTCTGGAGGAAGACATGACTGTCAGACAATTGTGGACATGACCTTTGACGTGGAGTCCTGGAGAGGAACTGAAACATGACGTTTGATCTGCACTCAGACAACTGTCCTGGAGGAACTGAAACATGACGTTTGATTTGGAGTTAGACAACTGTCCTGGAGGAACTGAAACAAGACGTTTGATTTGGAGTTAGACAACTGTCCTGGAGGAACTGAAACATGACGTTTGACGTGGAGTTAGACAACTGTCCTGGAGGAACTGAAACATGACGTTTGATGTGACGTGGAGTCAGACAACTGTCCTGGAGGAACTGAAACATGACGTTTGACGTGGAGTCAGACAACTGTCCTGGAGGAACTGAAACATGACGTTTGATGTGGAGTCAGACAACTGTCCTGGAGGAACTGAAACATGACGTTTGACGTGGAGTTAGACAACTGTCCTGGAGGAACTGAAACATGACGTTTGATTTGGAGTCAGACAACTGTCCTGGAGGAACTGAAACAAGACGTTTGATGTGCAGTCAGACAACTGTCCTGGAGGAACTGAAACATGACGTTTGATTTGGAGTTAGACAACTGTCCTGGAGGAACTGAAACATGACGCTTGATTTGGAGTTAGACAACTGTCCTGGAGGAACTGAAACATGACGTTTGACTTTGGAGTTAGACAACTGTCCTGGAGGAACTGAAACATGACGTTTGATTTGGAGTTAGACAACTGTCCTGGAGGAACTGAAACATGACGTTTGACGTGGTGTCAGACAACTGTCCTGGAGGAACTGAAACATGACGTTTGATTTGGAGTCAGACAACTGTCCTGGAGGAACTGAAACATGACGTTTGACGTGGAGTTAGACAACTGTCCTGGAGGAACTGAAACATGACGTTTGACGTTTAGACAACCGTCCTGGAGGAACTGAAACATGACGTTTGACGTGGAGTTAGACAACTGTCCTGGAGGAACTGAAACATGAAGTTTGACGTGGAGTTAGACAACTGTCCTGGAGGAACTGAAACATGACGTTTGACGTGCAGTCAGACAACTGTCCTGGAGGAACTGAAACAAGACGCTTGATCTGCACTTAGACAACTGTCCTGGAGGAACTGAAACAAGACGTTTGATTTGCGTTAGACAACTGTCCTGGAAACCTTGACTGCCATACCTGGAGAACTGAAACATGACGTTTA